AACATAAAGGCGAGACATACCTCTGTGTTAACAGTTTATTTAGGTACTATAAGCAAAAGGATCACTAAATTTGGTGTATGAAATGATTGTAAGGTGAACATGAGTGTCTGTCTGGCATGGTTCATATGTCCTTGAACTCATTTGCATGGATCATTGATAATACAGACTTTCAACATAAATTCAATCATAAGTAAAATACATTGTAGGTGAGACATTTCAGCGTGTGCACTCTTGTTTTACATGTTTCGCCTGTTGGGTCTTAAGTCTAATTTGTCGTTGAATGGTATGGAGGATTTATAGTTTATATTATCTATAGCTCCAATAGTTTTCCTTTAACATTATTCAAACTTGCATAAATATCCCTATTATACCGGTAACTTTATTTAGACACAACCTACACAACATACAAACTTTGTTAAAATTAGTTGTAGCTGGCATCAAAAAGATAATACATAATAAAGCTGAAACCATTGTTTAGTCAAAGAATTTTCGTAACAACCATGAGATCTATTGTATTCATGCATTTTGATTGGTCAGACGTAATTCTTATACTTGTTCAATTTTCATGTTGGCTGTTCTTAAAAGCAACAACATGGCGACGGAGATCCATTTATGATATTGGTCTTGTTGAGTTGTAAGAGGTGATAAATTATTGCTTGCTTAACGTCCAGTGGCAAATATTTTATGCTTCAGCCGTTTAAACTAAATCGGTGGTAGCAACTGTCTTGGTAATGGATAAAATTGAGAATGGAAACGGGGAATGCGTCAAAGTGACAACAACTCGACCAAAGAGCAGAAAATGCCTCAAAGCAACTATTCAGAATTAGGACTAGCAAGTGCTGATACGATATATTTATCGAATGAACATGAAGCAACTCAAATAATGAATAAGCTCATATATTACTTTCCATAATCTTAATCTTTAACAATAAAGTCCTGATAATAGTCCATGACCAAGACAGTTGCTACTGCCGATAAAGTCTATGCTGTCTGAAGCAACAGCATTTGGGTACACATAAACAACGTGTTTGGACTTGCTACAGCTGGTGTCACTTCGCTGCCTGATAGCAGATTATGCATGATTAAACATATGTATACTTGTATTTGAAAGTTAAAGATGGGATAGGACAAGAAACAATGGTGATCTGAGTACATAATGTTTATTTGTCCTTGACAAAAAAGTGAAGGGCCTTTGGAGTACTACTCTCTGTATGACTTAGTTCCACTCAGAAAATTAAATGACACACAGCTGACTTTAATACTCTGACCATGTGAAATCAAATCAAAGTAAGAAGACGAACATTTCACGATCCACTTGCTTTAAGGTTGTAAATGTTTACCTTAATGTGAGCTAAGGTAAATTACATTGTGTTATATAAAAAAAAACACATGATGTAACGGGTAACAAAAAATATCCGAACAAATGTAGATCACTGTGAGATTTTACGCTTCATTTAAGAGCTAGTAATGTTTAGGTCTTTGGTTCTAAGCGGTAATATGGTCTACCATCATGCAAATTACATGTACCGTATTATGCAACAATCATGGACTATTCCACTGCAAGTGGGGTACTAAATCTAATTTAAATATAGATTTCTGATTTCGTTATGCTCGTACCACAAGAGTTTCGATAAATCTGAATTTTAATCAGATTGGCCAGGGGCGGATTCAGGCAGGGGCATGGCGGGCGTGCGCCCCCCTAAAATTTGCAAAGCATTAGTTGTCTCAGCTTAATAAAGATTTTTTCGATAATTTAACCTCGAAAAAAAATTTAGCCTCGCTCCGCTCGGCGAAAATTTTTAAGTTTGCCCCTCCTAACCTAAAATCCTGGATCCGCCCCTGTTGGCGGGGTACTGGTTCATTCATATTTAGAGTGTCTTGCGTCATATTTTGGTTCTTGTGACCTGATACCAAATAACTTTTAGAAGGATGACTCGGAGCATGCCAGACTTGGATAAACGTCCGACTTTAGCTCTTGAAAAAAAATCAAATTATCAATTAAAAAATTATACAACGATACAAGGATGCAACTAAAAGAGCTTATAAGAGTGTTACTATGGCATACATCTCACAAGACATTCATTTTGACGAATTTCTACGTCATAAACCAGTTTTTGGATTGACCTACCACCAAATATCTTGGTGTATGAATGTATCTACAGAAAACATGCCAGCGACACCAAGAATAGATTACTGTGGTAAAATTTTACGCTTCATTGACAGATTGCTTAAATTCTTTAAGTTCAGCTTTCAGAATTAAGGTTACTTAACTATATACTTTTGTAAATAGAGGGCATAACAACATTCCACTAAAAATAGGTCACACTGACCTATATTTCATGTTTCATTGACGTGCTGTGTTGATGTCTAAATTCAGTTTACAGATAAGTAATTCGTCAATTGCAAAGTTACAGGATGCAATTTGAAGATTTTAAAAGTATCCATCTAATAACGCATGAGTTTAGTACACGAACATATTTCAAGCTTCATCAACAGTGTGACATTCCATGATCCGAGTTCAGGTCAAAGATGGTAAACGACCTACCACCGTGTTACTTGATTACTTGCTTTAGGAAGTGTATAAACTTCTATCAAAAGACAACTCTGATCTACACATGAGGTTTGCTGCATTTACGCAAACTAAAGAAGAATATGAAGTAGTATGTCAGTCTCCCAACCAAGGTTAGTCACTCTCATCTCTTGGCATGCCTCAATGACCTGCATTTAACTTTTTTGCTAGGTTCCAGTAACATACAATTAGACCAAACGGCAGTTATGCAATAAGAAGAGGTCGTGGATTAGATCCCCGGCCTGTTAGAACCGAAGACTTTGACAATTGGTATTAGCTGCTGCTTCACAAATCATCCGGCATTTAGGCGTAAGAGCAAGACTGGTCTGCTCGAGGGTGAAAATAATATGTCCGGATAGTTTTTAGGACGAGGTATGTTCCTCGATCACTATACCTGATAGGTCAACAATATTTGGTATGTGGATTGGTTGCAAGTATATTCCCGTCTGATATGTGTAATATGGCCTTGACGTGTTCTATTTGTTTTTAAGTACGTTTCAGATCTTACAATAAACAAATGAAGGTGGCACGGTACTATTTCCTGTGCCATAAAGGATAATGATAGCCTTTTTCGAATGCTCACCACTTTCTAACACTGCCCAAGAACCTACAAACTAACTTAAATACTTTCATTATGATATTCAGTAATGAATTTGAATATGTATGATGACCGTTTACTTTTTCTGTTATGTTTATAAACCTAATGCCACTAGTGCTTTTAGTTCCTTTATCATGCAGTGAATACAAAATTCTCAAACTAAATTCATTTTCACCTGTATGTAAAATCATATTTTATATTTAATCATTTAGTTCCTGATCCACTAGAAATTGAATGAAATAGATATTCATTGAACAATCTTGCATGCAAGCAAGGTCAAGGTCCAACAAGGTTTAACAAACCGTAGAGAGAGAACTCGTAGTTGTTTCTACTACAGAGAGCAAAACCAACGTTCATCATCTATTGCGCTTCTTACCAATTTCGTCTCGCAAGATTGTCATTATAACTTACACACTTTTTGTTTTACTAAAAAATATGTTATTACTTTTGGATATATGAGGTGTTGGCACATGAAAGTAACTACAATTCATTGCCATAGCTCAGTCATCTACTACTGATTTCTAAAACTCTACCATCTACTACTTATTGCTACAGCTCGATCATCTTCTACTTATTGCTACAGCCCAATAATCTACTACTCATTGCTACAGCTCGAACATCTACTACTCATTGCTACAGCTCGATCATCTACTACTCATTACTACAGCTCGAGAATCTACTACTTATTATTACAGCTAGATCATCTACTACTCATTACTACAGCTCGAGTATCTACTACTTATTGCTACAGCTCGACCATCTACTACTCATTACTACAGCTCGAGCATCTACTACTTATTACTACAGCTCGAGCATCTACTACTTATTGCTACAGCTCGATCATCTAGCTACTACTAATTGCTACAGCTCGAGCATCTACTACGCATTACTACAACTCGAGCATCTACTACTTATCATTACAGCTCGAGCATCTACTACTTATTGCTACAGCCCGATCATCTACTACTCATTACTACAGTTCGAGCATCTACTACTTATTGCTACAGCTCGATCATCTACTATTCATTACTACAGCTCGAGCATCTACTACTTATTTCTACAGCTCGAGCATCTACTACTTATTGCTACAGCTCGATCATCTTCTACTTATTGCTACAGCCCAATAATCTACTACTCATTGCTACAGCTCGAGCATCTACTACTCATTGCTACAGCTCGATCATCTACTACTAATTACTACAGCTCGAGTATCTACTACTTATTGCTACAGCTCGATCATCTACTACTCATTACTACAGCTCGAGCATCTACTACTTATTACTACAGCTCGAGCATCTACTACTTATTGCTACAGCTCGATCATCTAGCTACTACTAATTGCTACAGCTCGATCATCTACTACTCATTACTACAGCTCGAGCATCTACTACTTATTGCTACAACTCGATCATCTACTACTCATTATTTCAGCTCGAGCATCTACTACTTATTACTACAGCTCGAGCATCTACTACTTATTATTACAGCTGTATCATCTACTATTCATTACTACAGCTAGAGCATCTTCTGCTCATTACTGCAGCTCGAGCATATACTACTTATTACTACAGCTCGATCATCTACTACTCATTGCTACAGCTCGAGCATCTACTACTTATTACTACAGCTCGAGCATCTACTATTTATTACTACAGCTCGATTATCTACTACTTATTGCTACAGCTCGATCATATACTGCTCATTGCTACAGCTCGATCATCTACTATTCATTGCTACAGTTCGATCATCTACTATTCATTGCTACAGCTCGATCAGCTACTACTCATTGCTACAACTCGATCATAAAGGAATAAAGAAAGGACTACACACGCATTTGTTGACAAGCATATTTATATATGAATAAATACGAAATGTTGGCATGTTTGACATCATTTAAATTTACTTCAATATAAACATTGTAAGCAAAAAAGGAAAAAGATCAGAGGCAGCTATTACATTGTATGTTGATTGTCAGAAAACATTTAATATAGAAACAGACAACGCTTTTAAAACGAAAGTATACGTTAAATTGTTAAATTGATTAAATTGATTAAATGTATGTACACGTAAAAATATTCTTTGCGTTTCGCTCATAGCACAAATATTCTGTAATCGTACGTTTGATTTCCGTTTACTTTTGTGATTTTTCTTTACAAGAACTAATGAATGTTGAATATGTTCCAAATCTAAAATATTCCAAATAGCTGTAAAAGCTATAACCGGGTAAAATGGTGTTTCCTATGATGGTCAAGTATACAAAACAGTCCACAAAGTTTAATGTGTATCTTAGTTTTGGCCACATATAACACTGATGAAATTAAGGTTGGAAGGTTTGGATTTGCATCTGTTCAGTTTGTAAAAACACAACCTTTGATTAACAAATTTCCATTTTTATAATCATACAAGGCGGGCCAGACGAAAAATTCAATTTCGGACGCACGTGATTGATCACATGACCACCAAAGTTTGTGGTAATCGTCATTAAACTTTGTATCTTGCACGGAAAGACACATCGGTGGTTGCTGTATGACCATCTGCCATGCTAAATTTGCACTTTCCTTGGCGTATGCGACAACAAGTTTGTTGTTAAGACACGAATCATCAATATCATTGAATTCTTTCATAACTCTTGACAAAGCATTCTGAAAATAAAATTTTAACTTGTATATTGCATATTTTTATGATTATACGACTGATTATGACATCAACATTATTATGACTGATTAATTTAACCGATTGTTAGAGTGAACACAGTGTTATCTTCCATTGTTATGGATAAAGGAGCTATATTTGTCAATGAGACAATAACCCAACTACAAAATAAACACAACAAAAATCATCAAAGCAGTTACCATACAGTATTGTTATGACGTAATAATTCGAGTGTAATTAAAACTAATTTTCTAAAAAAAATAACGAACACCATAACCATAAAACAATATACTTAAGAATTGAATGCTTCTTTTTGTAAATTTATTAGGGTGTAAAAGCTTTGACCGAAGTACATTTTGTATGAAGCGCGGAAGCGCTTCATTCTAAAAATGTGCGCAAGGTCAACGCTTTTACAGCCCTATAAAATTACCAAAAGAAGCATTCAATACTTATAATTACACTTTTTGCTAGGATCATGAAAAAAACGATTTCTGTCAAGTTTTTCTTTTATTTAGCTGTGCACTTTATTGTGGAAGCTCATGTCATCATGAATGTTACATTTCATTTTGAAATGAAGGTTAATTTCAGAATGACGCGAGATTGCTGTTAGCCAATCAAAATAACGTATTATAATGAAACAAACATGTGATGTAATTATTGTTATATAAATTCGTGTTTAAAACTGTGCTATATACTAGTATAATATTCAATGTGTTTGTTTGTTGATCGTTTAACATACCCAGTTCACATTTTTCATGTCTTGTTATCACAAGCACTTGTCTCTGAAAAAAATTACATTAAAGTATGTAGGCAATTTTTTTTTCAGACAAGTGCCTGTGCTTATTATAGTCAAGGCAAAATCTCAATTTGACAGAAAACGATATTGTTCTTAGACTTGTTACATTAATGGTATGCAAACATTCAGTTTGGTTGATAATATTATGTGGCACAACTTTTCGGAATTTTTGGTTTTTAATTCGGGCGCCACTGATGAGTCTTATGTACAGACGAAACGCGCGTTTGGCGCCGTACATAATTTTAAGTATTGTATCTTTAAGTAATTCCCCATTGTACACAGTATTATTTAAAACTCAACAAGACTTGTGATATACTGACTACATATACATATGACCAATGTTCTATTTCCATCCAGCAGATGGCTGTTAAGAATTTCTGGAATATTTGCGTATGACACATTACTACTCATATACACCCAGTGGTCATTTGGTGGTAGTTTACCTGACTAATTACATCTGTGTCAATATTGTCATAATGTTTTCTGTACAACTGGCCTACTGCATCGGTTAATTCTTCTGGTAGTTTGTTCTTTCCATTAGAGGCAGATTTTAAATCTGATACCTTTAGACAAAAAAAAATAATAGTTTGAAAACAAAGTGAATTTAATGGTTTTTTAAACAAGCAATGACTTGATTTTAACTGGACTAAAAAATCCTGCCACTATAAAGAAATACTGACTACAAAATTGGTCCCAGGATAAAAATTGATTTTGACTACAAGGGTGATATTGACTAGCTATCTTCTTTTTTGGTTACAATCCATAAGCATAATAGTCAGTGGCGGATTGGGGGTTGTAGAGTTGTACATGTAAACAAAAGTGTCATACCTGAAACGTTCAAACCATTCCCAAAAATGTTGTCTATTATTATTGATATAGAATCAACTATGAAATTCATTACTTTTTTGCTATTATATATTGTTTGCCTTTGTGACGACCTTGTCTAGTCACGTTTGGTTCAATCTAATTAAAATATAGAACTCGGATTTCGTTATACTGCATAATCATGGTTTAGTCTCACGTGGGAATTTTTTTTTACAGCAACGAAAAAAATACTGTTTTTCATGTCTGTTTAATAAAATGATAAAAATATCAATAAAATATAAAAAAAAAACAAAAACATGTTTTATAATAAATAAACCATGATAAAATAGAAAATGATTTAAACAAGAGTGCACACGCTGAAATGTCTCGCCTTCTTTACTAATCATTGATATTATGTTGATAGTCCTAAATATAAAGCTTTATTACAACTGTCACATAAACTTAACATTAACCAAGTAAACTAAACATTGACCAATGAACCATGAAAATGAGGTCAAGGTCAGATGAACCATGCTAGGCAGGCAAGTACAGCTAACAATTCTTCCATACAACAAATATAGTTGACCTATTGCTTATAGTTTAAGAAAAACAGACGAAAACACAAAAACTTAACACTGAGCAATGAACCTTGAAAATGAGGTCAAGGTCAAATAAAACCTGCGTGACTGACATATAGATCATAAAATATTTCCATACACCAAATATAGTTGAACTATTGCATATAGTATTAGAAAAAAAGACCAAAACTCAAAAACTTAACTTTGACCACTGAACCATGAAAATGAGGTCAAGGTCAGATGACACCTGCCAGCTAGACATGCACACCTTACAATCATTCCATACACCAAATATAGTAGACCTATTGCATACAGTATAAGAAAAAAAGACCAAAACACAAAAACTTAACTATAACCACTGAACCATGAAAATGAGGTCAAGGTCAGATGACACCTGCCAGTTGAACATGTACACCTTACAGTCCTTCCATACACCGAATATACTAGACCTATTGCTTATAGTATCTGAGATATGGACTTGACCACGAAAACTTAACCTTGTTCACTGATCCATGAAATGAGGTCGAGGTCAAGTGAAAACTGTCTGACGGGCATGAGGACTTTGCAAGGTACGCACATACCAAATATAGTTATCCTATTACTTATAATAAGAGAAAATTTAACATTACAAAAAATCTGAACTTTTTTTTCAAGTAGTCACTGAACCATGAAAATGAGGTCAAGGACATTGGACATGTGACTGACGGAAACTTCGTAACATGAGGCATCCATATACAAAGTATGAAGCATCCAGGTCTTCCATCTTCTAAAATATAAAGCTTTTAAGAAGTTAGCTAACGCCGCCGCCGCCGCCGCCGCCGCCGGATCGCTATCCCTATGTCGAGCTTTCTGCGACAAAAGTCGCAGGCTCGACAAAAAAGGAAAAAATATATAGATTCATTTTATTAAAACTGTATATATATAATCATGGTTTAATCCCACCCATACGTAAATATACTTCATTTAACATAGAAGGTGGGACTAAACCATGACTTTATATAGGATTCATTCTTTAAAAACTGTATATATATAATCATGGTTTAATCCCACCCATACGGAAAAATACTTCATTAAACATAGAAGGTGGGACTAAACCATGATTATATATAGGTTTCATTCTTTAAAAACTGTTTATATATAATCATGGTTTAGTCCCACCTTCTATGCAAATTGAATTATTTTCCCATAGGGGTGGGATTAAACCATGATTATATTAATACACATTTATTTTCTCTTTACGTTATATATGTGTTTAATAAACCATGATCTATAGCATCTTATTATAGTCCCACCGAATGTTATATGTAGGAATAAACCATGATCTATAGCATCTTACTATAGTCCCACCGAATGTTATATATGTGGGAATAAACCATGAGCTATAGCATCTTATTATAGTCCCACCGAATGTTATATGTAGGAATAAACCATGATCTATAGCATCTTACTATAGTCCCACCGAATGTTATATGAAGGAAAAAACCATGATCTATAGAATCCTACTATAGTCCCACCGGATGTTAAGTGTGTGGGAATAAACCATGATCTATAGCATCCTACTATAGTCCCACCGAATGTTATATGTAGGAATAAACCATGATCTATAGCATCTTACTATAGTCCCACCGAATGTTATATATGTGGGAATAAACCATGAGCTATAGCATCTTACTATAGTCCCTTCGAATGTTATGTATGTGGGAATAAACCATGACTAATATTATCTTACTATAGTCCAACCGAATGTTTTATGTGGAAATAAACCATGGTCTATCGTTTCTTACTATAGTCCCACCTAATGTTATATATGTGGGAATAAACCATGATGTATCTTACTATAGTCCCACCGAATGTTAAGTGTGTGGGAATAAACCATGATCTATAGTATCCTACTATAGTCCCACCGAATGTTATATATGTGGGAATAAACCATGATCTATAGTATCCTACTATAGTCCCACCGAATGATATATATGTGGGAATAAACCATGAGCTATAGCATCTTACTATAGTCCCTTCGAATGTTATGTATGTGGGAATAAACCATGACTAATAGTATCTTACTATAGTCCCACCGAATGTTTTATGTGGACATAAACCATGGTCTATCGTTTCTTACTTTAGTCCCACCTAATGTTATATATGTGGGAATAAACCATGATGTATCTTACTATAGTCCCACCGAATGTTAAGTGTGTGGGAATAAACCATGATCTATAGTATCCTACTATAGTCCCACCGAATGTTATATATGTGGGAATAAACCATGATCTATAATATCCTAGTATAGTCCCACCGAATGTTATGTGTGTGGGAATAAACCATGATCTATAGTATCCTACTATAGTCCCAACGAATGATATACATGTGGGAATAAACCATGATCTATAATATCCTACTATAGATCATAGAATGTTATATATGTGGGAATAAACCATGATCTATAGTATCCTATACTATAGTCCCACCGAAAGTCATATATGTGGAAATAAACCATGATATATAGTATCCTACTAAACCATGATCTATAGTATCCTACTATAGTCCAACTAAATGTTATGTATACCGGATGCGAGGACGAAATAAAGCGCATGACTAGAATACAATTTTCCTTTACTCGGATCAATTCTTTTTTTTGCTCTCTCTCTGTAGTCTTAACTGTGTTATGTATGTGGGAATAGACCTTGATCTATAGCATCCTACTATATTCACTAAGAGAATACAATTTTCCTTTACTCTCATCATTTTTTTTTCTCTCTGTAGTCTTAACTATGTTATGAATAATAGTAAATCTGCACCCTTTTTCAATAAAACCAAAATGCCAGTGAGAGCACAGTTTTATATGCATGTGTTTTTATCCATCTTTTCTATTGATTCTTTGTTCACATTAAAAAAATAAGCATAAAGTTCATATGCTTTATTCCGTCCTCGCATTTGTCCCACTTTATAAACAATACATGAGAATAAACTATGATCAATTTATCCTGCTATCGTCCCATTTTATGTAATATATGTCCCACCGAATGATATATATGTGGGAATAAACCGTGATCTATAGTATCCTACTATAGTCCCAACGAATGTTAAGTATGTGCGAATAAACCATGATCTATAGTATCCTACTATAGTCCCACCGAATGTTTTAAATGTGGGAATAAATCATGATCTATAGTATCCTACTATAGTCCCACCGAATGTTATGTATGTGGGAATAAACCATGATCTATAGTATCCTACTATAATCCCACCGAGTGTTATATATGTGGGAATAAACCATGATCTATATTATCTTACTATAGTCCCACCGAATGATATGTATGTGGGAATAAACCATGATCTATGGTATCCTACTATAGTCCCACTGACTGTTATGTATACCGGATGCGAGGACGGAATAAAGCGCACGACAAGCATATAATTTTCCTTTACTCTGATCATTATTTTGCTCTCTCTGTAGTCTTAACTATGTTATGAATAATAGCAAATCTGCACCCTTTTTCAATAAAACCAAAATGCTAGTGAGAGCACAATTTTATATGCATGTGTTTTTATCCATCTTTTCTATTGATTCTTTGTTCACATTAAAAAAAAAATAAGCATAAAGTTCATATGCTTTATTCCGTCCTCGCATTTGTCCCACTTTAAAAACAATACATGAGAATAAACTATGATCAATTTTATCCCGCTATCGTCCCACCGAATGTTAAGTATGTGGGAATAAACCATGATCTATAGTAGCCTACTATAGTCCCACCGAATGTTATATATGTGGGAATAAACCATGATCTAGAGTATTATACTATAGTCCCACCGAATGTTATATATGTGGGAATAAACCATGATCTATAATATCCTAGTATAGTCCCACCGAATGTTATGTGTGTGGGAATAAACCATGATCTATAGTATCCTACTATAGGCTCATCCAATGTTATATATGTGGGAATAAACCATGATCTATAGTATCCTACTATAGTCCCACTGAATGTTATGTATACCGGATTCGAGGACAAAATAAAGCGCATGACTAGAATCCATTTTTTCTTCACTCGGATCAATTCTTTTCTTTTCTCTCTCTGTAGTCTTAACTATGTTATATATGTGGGAATAAACCATGATCTATAGTATCATACTACAGTCCCACCGAATGTTATGTATGTGGGAATAAACCATGATGTATAGCATACTACTATAATCACACCGAATGTTATATATGTGGGAATAAACCATGATCTAGAGTATTATACTATAGTCCCACCGAATGATATATATGTGGGAATAAACCATGAGCTATAGCATCTTATTATAGTCCCACCGAATGTTATATGTAGGAATAAACCATGATCTATAGCATCTTACTATAGTCCCACCGAATGTTATATGAAGGAAAAAACCATGATCTATAGCATCCTACTATAGTCCCACCGAATGTTAAGTGTGTGGGAATAAACCATGATCTATAGCATCCTACTATAGTCCCACCGAATGTTATATGTAGGAATAAACCATGATCTATAGCATCTTACTATAGTCCCAACGAATGTTATATATGTGGGAATAAACCATGAGCTATAGCATCTTACTATAGTCCCTTCGAATGTTATGTATGTGGGAATAAACCATGACTAATAGTATCTTACTATAGTCCCACCGAATGTTTTATGTGGAAATAAACTATGGTCTATCGTTTCTTACTATAGTCCCACCTAATGTTATATATGTGGGAATAAACCATGATGTATCTTACTATAGTCCCAGCGAATGTTAAGTGTGTGGGAATAAACCATGATCTATAGTATCCTACTATAGTCCCACCGAATGTTATATATGTGGGAATAAACCATGATCTAGAGTATTATACTATAGTCCCAACGAATGTTATGTATGTGGGAATAAACCATGATCTATGGTATCCTACTATAGTCCCACCGAATGTTATGTGTGTGGGAATAAACTGTGATCTATGGTATCCTACTATAGTCCCACCGAATGTTATGTATGTGGGAATAAACCATGATCTATGGTATCCTACTATAGTCCCACCGAATGTTATGTGTGTGGGAATAAACTATGATCTATGGTATCCTACTATAGTCCCACTGACTGTTATGTATACCGGATGCGAGGACGGAATAAAGCGCATGACAAGAATATAATTTTCCTTTACTCTGATCATTTTTCTTCTCTCTCTGTAGTCTTAACTATGTTATGAATAATAGCAAATCTGCACCCTTTTTCAATAAAACCAAAATGCTAGTGAGAGCACAATTTTATATGCATGTGTTTTTATCCATCTTTTCTATTGATTCTTTGTTCACATTAAAAAAAATAAGCATAAAGTGCATATGCTTTATTCCGTCCTCGCATTTGTCCCACTTTATAAACAATACATGAGAATAAACTATGATCAATGTTATCCTGCTATCGTCCCATTTTATGTAATATATGATAAAATAAACCACGATTAAAAGGATTCTAATATAGTATGCTTTAAGTGTAAAATGAAGAACCAACCATGATCTTACTTTTGTTCAACTTTATGTTATAAACGTTAGACAACCAAATAAATCCAACTATAGTCTATGTAATATATAATGGTACCAACGATTGCTTATGAAATCGAACAATGTGAATTGGTTGTGAAAACCAATACGGATCTTAAGAAAATTCTTTCTTAATTTTCACTATGCACCTTGCATTTTTAAGCCTAGTTTGTCTTGTGAATGATTCTAAACTCCCCAAAACCCAAAACATTCTCTGTTCCATCTACATATTCATAGCGTTGTCTCTCTACATTCCATGCAAACTGTCTTGATCGGTGCCTATAGAATAGCTTAAACAATGCTCTGAAATGTCGAACGGCACCAGCGTTTTCACAAAGTCCTATCATTATTGTCCATTGGAAAAATAAGGCCAATGGAAGAGAGTTCACATACACAAAAGTTGCAATTCTAATCCTATCTCTATATTGCAACTTCTCGGTCCAGAATAACCACCGAATGGATCTAGGTCATTGCACAGCAGGACCTATACATCTCTGAATTCTCTGCCATAGCACAGCTATGATCCTTTTCTGCTTCTTGCCATTTTTGAACGATCTTGTTTATTGATTTGTGAAATCAACTCACAGTGTTGATATAAGTTCAACAATTTATTTTGTGTATTTCTTATGTATAATTTTGGACTAATATATTAAAGGAATACTAATACCAAAAAAATCTGAATTTAAGGATTTTACTGGCAAATATATTCATTTATAGGTAAAACGTCTGACTTGATATTGACCTGTATTGAAATTAAAAAATCAAGATCATACAATTCAGAATGTAAAATTTTATATCAAGTTCCCCCAAAATTTCTATATCGGTAACATCTGACCTGACATTGACCTATATTGAGTTTGAAAGTCAAGGTCATGTAACTAATAATGTAATATTTTATATTAAATACCCCTAAAATTTCTATATAGGTCACACGTCTGACCTGACATTGACCTTGTTTTAGGTAAAAGGTCAAGGTCATGCAGTTCAAAGTGTCACATTCATGATTTTATTCACAAAAACTGAAGCATGACCTATATAGAGGTTAAAGGTCAAGGTCATACAATAATAAAATGCAATTTTTATAATTTTTCCCCCAAAAAATTCCTTGCCCCTTTTTTATAATATCCCCCCCCCCAAAAAAAAAAACCCTTTTCAAGGTGTTGGGTTGAAATAAGTGTCATAACTCTATAAAGTGTTTGTTATAAGTAAAACATTACTATTTTAAACAATTATATCTTTACTTATCATAAAAAATGTGTGTATATATATAATCATGGTTTAGTCCCACCTTCTATATTAAATGAAGTATTTTTCCGTATGGGTGGGATTAAACCATGATTATTATATATATACAGTTTTTAAAGAATGAATTCTATATATAATCATGGTGTAGTTCCACCTTCTATGTTAAATGAAGTATTTTTCCGTATGGGTGGGATTAAACCATGATTATATTTATACAGTTTTTAAAGAATGAATCCTATATATAATCATGGTTTAGTCCCACCTGGGACTAAACCATGATTATGCCCGAAATCCGAGTTCTATATTTTAATTAGATTGCGTTTGGTTTATTTTACCATGAATCGTGTAAAAAAATTGTACCCCTCTAATGAGTCATGTCAGATATAAACTTTGTATACTAAAAGAGGCTAAGTAAATCTCAAAATATCCAATAACCTACTGTAATTCGTTACTTAAGTTCATGTGGACCCTTAACTGACAATCATAGGCAATTAAGATTGGAGTCGAGCGCACCTGCCACGTGCGGGATTCGATTCAGAACTTCAGCGTTGACAGGCTAGTGATACAGTAGTACGACTCCTTTTTTGTTTCTTTTGATAAAATTTTAAGACTACCTAGACCAGTCGTCCACCGAGGCCCCCAGTGTAAGAGTGGACTTCTAACTCGTCGACCTTAAACCTAAATTTGAAAAAGTAAAATCAACGATTGACGTCAGCAAGAATTAAAGTACAATACATCCACTCTTACATTTTATGTGGTTTATACTGTTGGCCATTGAATGTAAATATTCTGATCACACTAACCACAATGGTTGGTTGATTGATGATTTCAGCAATGGTTGATTTAGAGGCATCTTTCACATCTGTACAACATTCGTATGTTTTCTGAAAACAAAGAAGTAGAAAATTATCATTTATGACTATTGGTAAAATGTACTTATAACCAGTAACATGACAGTCGGTGACGGAAAATGTTTCCAAATGGGGAAGCAAAAAGAATGTTCCAGGTTAAGGAAATTGTTTTGTCCTTGTTCAAAAGGCTTACGTCGGCAGTATAAATTTACGATATATTTTAAATGCAATTATCTAGAAGTTAAACTTCCTTTTCAATATGGGATTTTAATTTCCAAAACTGTTTTATTTTTTATCATATAGTCTTAATGCTTAATATTTTAGTTTAATGAAAAACATTTTGACTGATTCTCAAAAAACAGCACATTTTTGGTAAAAATACGAACATTAAGCGTGTCATGATAAAGCTAAGGTGGCGTTAAACAAACATCCATCAATAAATTAATTTCATTTTTTTTAAATAATAAACTATAGTTAAGGGCGGGATAAATCATACATATTTTGCACCCTCCTCAATATTTATTTATTTTGGATGGAAAAAAAGGTGAACAAACGTACTTTATATTTTTCCGGAATTACATATAGTATTGTCCATTCAACATAATGTCATATGTAGTCTGCATACTATATCAATGATAAAGGTCATTTTCCCAATGGAACTTTCCATTTATACAGAGCAGAAGAATCGCAAGTGAAGATTTCCTTATAAGATTGTCACTCTGTACGGTCTTATAATGTACCCCTTTCATATATCATCTTTGATGAATGGATGGGTGTTTTATGTCCAGTGGCAAATTAAATGCACATTCAAGAATTCAAGAATATAACATGGTAGTGCGACTTTGACATACATGTATGTTTTCCTCTCAAGATTCTTTTAGATTGATCCACTGTTACTTCCATTACACTATAGACAACAGTAATACTTACCACCAGTATTGAGCAGAGAATCCTTAAGATTATTTCTTCTTCATACTCTGTGTTGTCTTCTAAAGATTCCTTGGCTTCAATCCACTGCTGACTCTCAAGAGAATTATAAGCTACAGCTATATTACTAGGTCGACATTTTTCTGACAGGTTCTCAACTTGTCTATTATCTAGACGAGGTAAAGGTTTTACTGACCGTGTAACCCTAAAAAAGTGCATGTGCAAAGAAATTCAAAATCAAGGGTCACTTTGTCCCAATGAATGAGTCGTTATTTGCATAATTTGGCCCAAAAGTTTTGCAGATATACAAACGTTAAAATAAATCCAAACCATAATGGTATTTTTATAGATCAATGTTTAGTCTGGCTAACAAAAATAAATACGATCAAATAATATTATCAAAATCGTCATTTTTTTCCACAGAAAAAGTGACTTTTATATGCATTGATTTGGACCTTACACTTAAAATATTTGTTTCATTGTTCACAAAGCACCAATAACAAATATTAACGACAGCTTTCGATCAAAAAAGAAGATCTTTGAATTTGTGTGGTTTATAACACTGATAGATATTTGTTGTATTACTGTAGTTAGTTCATATTTCAGCATTTACTATGACCTATTTAGTGTATATTTCAGCATTTACTATGACCTATTTAGTGTATATTTCAGCATTTACTATGACCTATTTAGTGTCCCAGTTATCCTTATGTTTACATTTTTCAGTTGATTGAAATAAAATTGATGCATTATCTGTTAATAACATACTAATAATAATTATTGATCTTTGGGGAGAAAGGGGGAGTGCATTTCCCGCTTACAGATTATGCATGACTACACATGTAACATCGGTTTTGTACTTACTGGGGCAACACGACGAGTGCTACATGCGGAGCAAGATAGTTTTGTTACCCTTCCGTGGCGCCCGAGTAAACCCGAGTTTTTGTTATTGTTCGGTGTTAAGTTTTCTGTGTATTTTTTTGTTATTGTTGTCTTTTAGTCGTTGTTATTTTTGGCCATGGTATTGCCTGTTTTATTGGACTTCTGATTTTCGATCGCCCTGATGGAACCTTCTCTCTCTCTTTGTACAGAGATTCACAGTCCATTTATTATATGTAATTCCATATTTACCTTTGCTTAAGTGTGTCGTTTTCAGATTTCATACACTTCACACTATCTTCCATCAGTCTGTATTCTTTAAGTACCGTTTCCATGGATCTTTGTGTCGTTTCCAAAGCCACTTTAGAACTTTTATTTTGTTCTTGTAGATTTGCGTTTACTTGTTCCAACTCCTTTATTGTCTTTTCGTGTTTTGCTAGTTTTATTTTTAAGCTCTCGTTTTCATGACGAATTTTATTTAACTCTGCCCCAGGTCCATGTTGAGTTTTAGTTGATTGACTTCGATCTTCATGGCTACTACCTCTATGTTTTCTAAGCTCCTCGTTTTCTCGTTTTAGTTCGTCTAGTTTTACCCAAAGCTGACCCATGCCTCCAGTTGACCTAGTTGCGGTTCCATGAGATCCTACTGTTGGTTTCTGATTTTCTGTACAAAGCGATTCAATCAGTCGTTTGGCGGTGTCCAGTAAATTTCTTGTTTGAGGATCTCGTCTTTTCATCAGGAATACGTTGGATAAGCCATCACAGAAAGATTTTGCTTCGACCAACAAATCTTGCTTCTTTGCTGTGGCTGACATTGTTTATATCTAAATAAATTTGCACAAAATAACGATATTATAATATTATGCATATGTTGACTTGAATCTATATCTTGTTCATCATAGGTTAATAGAACTGAAAGAAAGATCACCTACGGTCATTATTGTCATTAGTTGGTCAGAAATCAATTACTTTTGTTATATGTTCTTATTTTGATCAGTTGTGTATATATAAATACTAGTACACAAAAATGCCAGGTTTTTGAAGACGAACATGCATTAAACCTGTCCGCCCATCATTTGCTGTCAAAACACATGTGTAACTAGACCCAACTGCCATCTGTCTAGTTCTATTTTAGCCATATTGATTGCTTTGTCTCGTGTTTTAACCAAATAATAGAAATAATAATGTAATTTTTAAAAGCTCCATTGTGAAACTTTCAGTATTGACTCCGTATAAAACATTAAGTGCTAGAATTGATTCTCATGTCTTACCTTGTATTGTTTACTTTGCATAAAATACAAAACTGTCATCTAAAGTCCAAGGAATAATATGGAATATTGAAAAATCACAGAGCATGGATCAATAACCATCAAAAACGAAGGAGCCGTGAGTCATTTTCTCTTCATCGTTTTCACAATTAACATAATGCGGCTCATTCATTATTGATTGTACAGGAATAAATTTCCAATATTCAATATTTGAAAATTTTAATATTTGAAAATCGCTCAATCGCTGGCTGATTTTGTGTTATTATTTTCATATCGGTAAACAAAATAGGACAAATTCATAATATGCTGATATTTGAAGCTATTGATTGTGTATCAAATTGCTTCCAATATTCATTAATTTGTACAAAACAAATCAATACATATCCATAGCGTCCCTATACACAGCGGAATTTCCCAGAACAAAGACAACACGCTAACAACATCATGGCCGATTCCGAAGCTGTTGATACTACAGACGATTCCCCTGAAAACCAGCCAACAAGTCCTCAACTGTTGCAAGATGAAGCTGTATCATCAACACTGGAAATGGCAGCTGATGCATACAAAATTGTCTCAGCGATTGACTTTGGAACTACATTTAGTGGATATGCCTATACATTTTTACCTAATAAGGAGAAAATATACACAAACAGAAACTGGGGACAAACGCAGGGATTTCTTTTGCACAAAACTCCAACCTGTCTCCTTTTGAAACCTGATGGAGAATTTGAAGCATTTGGATTTGAAGCCGTCCTGAAGTTCAACGACCTTAGCGAGGAGGACGCTGGAAATCACTACTACTTTGACAAATTCAAAATGAAACTTTATGAAAACAAGGTAAGTTGATTAAGATTGAAGGATGATAAAATCTGCAAATTATAACTGTGTAATGCATCAATTTCGGGAAACTGTGTCAAAAATAAAAGAATATATACTACGTACGTTTAATGATTTTATACTACGTTTAATGGTTGTATGGTAATTAATTTATCTAAAGTGTAATTTCTTTCACTAAAACATTTGGTCTCATTTCATTCGTTTTCCTCTCTTCACAGGTTCTAAATACGGAAATTTTAATTGAAGATGCAAGTGGAAAGACGAAGTTTGCAGTAGACGTATTTGCTAAATCTCTCTGGTTCATGAAACGTCACTTATTGAAACATTTGGCAGGAACCATGGGATATGAACCAGATGAAAAATCAATAAGATGGGTGCTCACTGTTCCTGCAATATGGGATGAAAATGCCAAACAGTTCATGCGAGAGGCAGCGCATAAGGTAATCTACATTTTACATTTGGAAAAAGTACTGCCCATTTTACTAGAACGATCTTTTTAAATATCTAGAAAAGCATATTTTTGCAACTTGTACATATGGACTCTGTGAGAATTTGAGCTTGCGACGTAGTAAAGACTGGATTCGGGACGATTTAGAGCTTGGTACATTTCTTTAGTATTGAATCCGTGTGTTGATTGATCTATATGTCTTTTTATCGTTCTATTGTGGTATTTTGGTCACTGTTTCATTAAAATATACGCTACATTTTCTTTTCAAATATTCGGAATTTGGACTAGAAACGTTCTCTTGGTTTTTATAAAGCCCGCGGACCAGATGTTTCATTAACCTTTTTTTACTAACACTAACACTTGATTTCATTTCATTATGGTACTTTTTTCTACTAAAACTAATACTTTATTTCATTTCTTTAGGGTGGTTTGATTGAAACTACACACAGTAACCAACTGCTGATCGCGTTAGAACCGGAAGCTGCTTCTTTGCACTGCAAACTACTCCCAGCAGAAACCTTTATGGGCAACTCAGAAGAGCAACTAGCCAAACCAACATTCGAACCAGGGACAAAGTATCTGGTTGTTGATGCCGGAGGTACAGTAATCTGTTTATTTTTAATTTCATTTTATGTTTCGTCTATCTTTTTTTTAAATAAGACACTAGTATGAACAATCTTTTAACCCGCGCTTGAATATAATCGCTGTATTTTCATTTTTAAATGTTTTATCGAGTCGAATAACTCTAAAATGGCTATGGACAAGTGATTTCTAGAGAAAAAGTAGTTTCTGTTAATCATTTTCGGATTTGCATACCTTGTGGAAATATAAAAGATGAAGATCTAAAAAGTCTAAGAAGGAAAATGGAAACTTTAAATCCACGAGATGAACAGAAAAAAAAAGAGACCCAAACAGTAAAAAAAAACAGTTAAACCGTGATTCACAAGTAAATTACAGAAAAATTCAGATTGGCAAACTAAGTACTCCAAAACGTAAAAGTTACCAAATGAACACATTATAAATTTCGTGCGCCTAAAGCTCTTTTCTGGATTTACCTTATCACGGAATACTCAAACCAAAATATTTTAAAGCCAGGAATGTGTATGTACGTATAAACGTTAGAAGCTATTGTCACAAAAGTACCTAAAAATATTAGCCAAATTAATCTAAGATCAGCCTTACCTAAGTTCATATTTGGTATCAGAGTTAAAACATTAATCAAATCTGGGACTATTGCACTAACATATTATATTAGTCAAAGATCAAATATATATTTTCTTTGATAATTTTCAGGTGGAACAATCGATATAGTTGCTCACAAAATTCGCAAAGATGGAAGAATTCGTGAACTTTTTCGTGCCACCGGAGGCGCTTGGGGTGGCACCGTAATTGATAGACAGTTCTTAAACCTCACGGAGAGAATATTTGGTGAAGGTTACATGAAAGCATTCAAACATGAATTTCCAAAAGACTTTGTTGAGCTACTTCAAGACTTCGAAATAAAAAAGCGCGGGGAATGCGATACCGTTAGAGTTTCGTTACCCTATAATTTCTGCAATTACAAACATGAAGGAAAAGGAGTACAAGAAATCATCAAACACTATTCGGAAACTTCTAAACAAAAAGTGAGGTTTTCGTCTGGAAAACTGGTTCTTTCGTCTGAAATTGTCCATTCTCTGTTTGCTGATACACTATCTCAAATAAATGATCACATAAATACACTGCTTCACAAAAACAGATTAAAAGACATAAGTTATATATTCATTGTTGGTGGATTTGCAGAATCAGTTAAACTTCAACATTCAATTAAGGAGGCTTTTGAGTCCCGCGTGACAATTTTGATCCCTGAAGAAGCAAGTTTGGCCGTTGTGAAAGGCGCTGTGACTTTTGGGTGTGATCCTAGTGCCATCTGTCAAAGAATCTGTCGATTTACATATGGAGTGGGTTCTTATCTTCCGTTTGAAGAAGGCGTTCATAGAGAAGACTTGAAATGTGTTTCAGACGGAATGATCCTGTGTAAAAAAATATTTCAGCCATGGGTTGAAGCGGGAGAAGTAATAGGGCATAATGAAGTTTGGCGGGAAACTTACACACCGATTATAACAAATCAAAAGGGAATCATATTCGAATTCTTTAAATCCTCGAAACGTAATTTAAAATACGTAGACGAGGAAAATGTTGAAAAATGTGGGTCTTTGATTGTTGAAATGCCAGACATGACGGGGGACAAAGACAGAGCAGTTGATCTTGAAGTAATATTCGGAGGGACAGAAATAAAGGTGATTGGATCTGATCATACCAGTCAGACGCAAAGAGAAACCTACATAGATTTTCTCTCAGTCTAATGAGAGATATACGAACAAAGTTATCATGGAACAAACTGAGCAGACATTTAAATATCAAAACTGGATCGATTGTATTCAGTAGTAAATTACATCATTTATAGCTCCATATGGAATTGGTTACACAAGTCAATAGTCATAACTTGATAACATTGTTATTGAAGATCCATAAATTACCATGTAGAAATTCAAGTATTATATCTATAAAGACAAGTTATAGTTGTCAATTGTAAGAGGTGCTATTTTATGTTCATTCGAAACAATCATGATAAAAATCAGAATATTTATAAACTACACCTTCACGGCAAAGTCCTTATTCAAGTATGCTTACAAAAGAACTTTAGATAAGACGGAAGTTTTTATTAATTGTGATACATGCAAATATAAGTGATGTCTTACTACGGGTTTAAGGTCGTTTACTGAAAGTGCTTGATAAAAATTTGTCAGCTGTGACTGTTTCCATGAAGAATACTTTCTTCAAACAACAAAAATATCAACGATGTACTTGTTGTATGATTATATTCAGTGAGATAAAATGGGGTTTATTCTATCAAGGATTTGTGATCTTACTATACAAATCCTTGATTCTATAAATCTGCATATATGTGAAAAGCAGTTGAATTATCTCCCTTGATACATTTTTTTTATGTATACTTACCTTCTACTGAATGCACAAGAAAATAAACCTCGAGTTCTCTGAATGAATCATTATGATAGGGTTATCAAATGAAATCAAGCACTATTTTTTCTCCTTTATACACCAATAACTAACTAGAGGCTCTAAAGAGCCTGTGTCGCTCACCTTGGTCTATGTGAATATTAAACAAAGGACGCAGATGGATTCATGACAAAATTGTGTTTTGGTGATGGTGATGTGTTTGTACATCTTAATTTACTGAACATTTTTCCTGCTTACAATTATCTCTATCTATAATTAACTTGGCCCAGTAGTTTCAGAGGAGAAGATTTTTGTAAAAGATTACTAAGATTTACGAAAAAATGGTTAAAATTGACTATAAAGGGCAATAACTCCTAAAGGGGTCAACTGACAATTTCGGTCATGTTGACTTATTTGTAGATCTTACTTTGCCGACATTTATCGTTTTTTACAGTTTATCTCTATCTATAATAATATTCAAGATAATAACCAAAAACAGCAAAATTACCTTAAAATTACCAATTCAGGGGCAGCAACCCAACAACGGGTTGTCCGATTCATCTGAAAATTTCAGGGCAGATAGATCTTGACCTGATAAACAATTTTACTTCTTGTCAGATTTGCTTTAAATGCTTTGGTTTTTGAGTTAAAAGCCAAAAACTGAATTTTACCCCTATGTTCTATTTTTAGCCGTGGCGGCCATCTTGGTTGGTTGACCAGGTCACGCCACACATTTTTAAAACTAAATAACCAAATGATGATTGTGGCCAAGTTTGGTTTAATTTGGCCCAGATGTTTCAGAGGAGAAGATTTTTGTAAAAGATTACTAAGATTTACGAAAAATGGTTAAAAATTGACTATAAAGGGCAATTACTCCTAAAGGGGTCAACTGACCATTTCGGTTATATTGACTTATTTGTAAATCTTACTTTGCTGAACATTATTGCTGTTTACAGTTTATCTCTATCTATAATAATATTCAAGATAATAACCAAAAACAGCAAAATTTCCTTAAAATTACCAATTCAGGGGCAGCAACCCAATAACAGGTTGTCCGATTCATCTGAAAATTTCAGGGCAGATAGATCTTGACCTGATGAACAATTTTACCCTATGTCAGATTTGCTTTAAATGCTTTGGTTTTTGAGTTAAAAGCCAAAAACTGAATTTTACCCCTATGTTCTATTTTTAGCCGTGGCGGCCATCTTGGTTGGTTGACCAGGTCACGCCACACATTTTTAAAACTAGATAACCAAATGATGATTGTTGCCAAGTTTGGTTTAATTTGGCCACGTAGTTTCAGAGGAGAAGATTTTTGTAAAAGATTACTAAGATTTACGAAAAATTGTTAAAAATTGACTATAAAGGGCAATAACTCCTAAAGGGGTCAACTGACCATTTCAGTCATGTTGACTTATTTGTTAATCTTACTTTGCTGAACATTATTGCTGTTTACAGTTTATCTCTATCTATAATAATATTCAAGATAATAACCAAAAACAGCAAAATTTCCTTAAAATTACCAATTCAGGGGCAGCAACCCAACAACAGGTTGTTCGATTCATCTGAAAATTTTAGGGCAGATAGATCTTGACCTGATAAACAATTTTACTTCATGTCAGATTTGCTCTAAATGCTTTGGTTTTTGAGTTATAAGCCAAAAACTGCATTTTACCCCTATGTTTTATTTTTAGCTGTGGCGGCCATCTTGGTTGGTTGGCCGGGTCACGCCACACATTTTTTAAACTAGATACCCCAATGATGATTGTGGCCAAGTTTGGTTTAATTTGGCCCAGTTGTTTCAGAGGAGAAGATTTTTGTAAAAGATTACTAAGATTTACGAAAAATGGTTAAAAATTGACTATAAAGGGCAATTTCTCCTAAAGGGGTCAACTGACCATTTCGGTTATATTGACTTATTTGTAAATCTTACTTTGCTGAACATTATTGCTGTTTACAGTTTATCTCTATCTATAATAATATTCAAGATAATAACCAAAAACAGCAAAATTTCCTTAAAATTACCAATTCAGGGGCAGCAACCCAATAACGGGTTGTCCGATTCATCTGAAAATTTCAGGGCAGATAGATCTTGACCTGATGAACAATTTTACCCCATGTCAGATTTGCTCTTAATGCTTTGGTTTTTGAGTTATAAGCTAAAAACTGCATTTTACCCCTATGTTCTATTTTTAGCCGTGGCGGCCATCTTGGTTGGTTGACAGGGTCACGCCACACATTTTTAAAACTAGATACCCCAATGATGATTGTGGCCAAGTTTGGTTAAATTTGGCCCAGTAGTTTCAGAGGAGAAGATTTTTGTAAAAGTTTACGGACGACGGACGACGGACGCAAAGTGATGAGAAAAGCTCACTTGACCTTTCAGGTCAGGTGAGCTAAAAACTGCTTACAAGGATTGAACCGGAAGTTACAAAAACATGACGATAAAGATCTTCATATATTGTTTTTGTTTATGGTTATAAAACTTGAAATTTGCTGTAAATTATGATTTTATCAGATTTCATGTATGTTTGCAAGAAACCAGTAAAAAAAATTCTCAAAATCAGTTTATGTCAAAGAGTTCTCTAGACAATATGTTTTAAATTTTTAACTTACAAAAGTTCAATTTTTACTTAAAACATCTTAGGCAAAAATTACGAATTTATTTCTAAGCAAAGATAGTGTAATACTTGAAATTTCATTATACATGTATATGTGCATTCCTTACTTAACAAGATGTAATTGTAAATTTTAAAATATGTGACAAGATTAACATTATAATGATGAAAACTTGCATTTTTGCTATTAATATTCTACATGTACATGACTGAGGGCATTTAGTATTGTCAGGGACATATAATACAATTATATAATTGTATTATATGTCTCTGGTATTGTGTAGAGTGTAGAAAATTTGTGCCTATAAGTGCACAAGCTAAATTTTTTTTTTTTTAAGAAAGTTTTAATTTAATTGTTTTTATATACCTTTTCATTAATGTTATAGTTATTTAGTTTTCATACTGAGTTGTGCTATCAAAGGTTGTGTGTTTCTTGTGTTGTGATAGTCCATGTGCAGTGCCTAATATGGTTTTAAATAAAATGTGTTTACAGTTTTACAGAATTTCTGTTCAAAGATAATAATTGGGTAGATTCCAAGTTCCTCAAAATGAAAAAAAGTTTGCTTGAAATTGGAATCCACTGTTTTTTTTTTTATACAGTACAAGAGAGTTAACTGTGTGTGTATCATTCTCCTTTCTTGTAGCTGTGATTTTATAATTAGCACCACTTTAGGAATTTGTACAAGACTCATAATTTACAAAATATTTGGCCTTAAATTAGAAAGTTAATCAGTTGGAAGAAAATATTGAATTCCTTGGCTATGTTTTTCTCAGATTAAAATGAAATGAAATGTGTAATATCTTGCATCTCTAAATCTAGATTTGATTTTTCATCAGCTAAGCCTTGGGGGGGTGCAAAAACGTAATTTCCTCTATGTATGGAATATGGGAACAACATTTAGACACCATTCTAGATTTATGGCGTGAATTAATATCTAAATGGTCTATAATTATAGGACGCCGTAAAGCATAGATAGTTCAATTTAATCCACATGCACAGATACCATGATTACCATCAATGTCACAAAAAAAAACCTTGGCAAGGCAATCACCATATAAAGCTAGCACTTGTAATTTAGGAATTTATGTCTATTAAGTAAGTTTTTAGACTTAAGTGTTTCTCGTTTTTTATATAGATTAGACCGTTGGTTTTCCTGTTTGAATGGTTTTACACTAGTCACTTTTGGGGCCCTTTATAGCTTGCTGTTCAGTGTGAGCCAAGGTTCCGTGTTGAAGGCCGTACTTTGACCTATAATGGTTTACTTTTACAAATTGTGGCTTGGATGGAGAGTTGTCTCATAGGCACTCATACCACATCTTCTTATATCTATTATAAAAATAAGATGGGGTATGATTGCCAATGAGACAACTCTCCACAAATGACACAGAAATTAACAACTATAGGTCCCTGTAGGGCCTTCAACAATGACTAAAACCCATATCGCATAGTCAGCTATTAAAGGCCCTGAAATGATAAATGTACAACAATTCAAAAGAGAAAACTAACATCATGATTAAAGTTCAAAATAATTAACAAAAAACAAATATGATATACAGCAACAAACGACAACCACTAAATTATAGACTCCTGACTTGGGACAGGCACATACAGAATGTGGCAGGGTTAAACTAGTTTGAAGGTGCAAACCCTACCCCTTACCTGGGACAGTGGTGTAATAGTACAACATAAGAACAAACTGTAATAAAATGCTCTGCTGGGCGCAGCTTGATACGACTGCAGAGGTCAAACCCTGAACAGTTGGGGCAAGTATGGACACAACATTCAAGCTTGATACAGCTCTGAATTTGGATTGTGATTAAATATTTGACACAGCATAGGTTTCTGACACAGAATGAATGTGGTCTAAGAACTTAAATTTTTTTAATTTTCCTATTATGGTCCAATATCCAAAATCTAAATACATGGTTAGATTCAGCATATCAAAGAATCCAAAGAATTCAATTTTTGATGAAATCAAACAAAGTTTAATTTTGGACCCTTTTGACCTCAATGTGGACCAATTTGATAACGGGGCCCAAAAATCAAAATAAATGGTAAGATTCAGCATATCAAAGAACCTCATATATTCAATTTTTGTTGAAATCAAACAAAAGTTTAATTTTGGACCCCAACTTGGACCAACTTGAAAACTGGGCTCATAATCAAAAATCTAAACACATGTTTAGATTCAGCATATCAAAGAACCCCATGAATTCAATTTTTGTTAAAATCAAACTAAGATTAATTTTGGACCTTTTGGACCTTAATGTAGACCAATTTAAAAAACTGGACCCAAAATTAAAAATCTAAATACACGGTTAGATTTGGCATATCAAAGAACCCCAATAATTCAATTTTTGATGAAATAAAACAAAGTTTAATTTTGAACTCTTTTGACCTTTATATGAACCAATTTGATAGCGGGGCCCACAAATAAAAAATCTAAATACATGGTTAGATTCAGCATATCAAAGAACCCCATATATTCAATTTTTGTTGAAATCAAACAAAGTTAAATTTTGGACCCCAATTTGTACCAACTTGAAAACTGGGCCCATAATCAAAAATCTAAATACATGTTTAGATTCAGCATATCAAAGAACCCCATATATTCAACTTTTGTTAAAATCAAAATAAGTTTAATTTTGGACCCTTTGGACTTTAGTGTAGACCAATTTGAAAACTGGACCCAAAATTAAAAATCTAAATACACGGTAAGATTCAGGCATAACAAATAAATAAATGTGGTCAAAGATTTTACAAATCTAATGTGCCATACTGTGCAATTAAAGATTACTTCTTGAAATTTTTCAATATTTGAAATTTGAAAAAAAAAATAATATTTGAAGAATAATTCTTATTAATTTCTGAAATCTGAAATGAGAAAAAATTGACCCCCCACAATTTATTTTTACCCCCCCCCCCCCTTTTTCCCCCCAAAAATTCTTTCCCTCAAGATATGGTCATAATATCAATTCAAATTTCCAATGGAGTTTGCAACCATAATTACCCATTTAAATTTACCATAGTGCTAACTTAATCTATTTTATAATAGAATTTAAAATATAGTGTCAAATCTTTCATATGGATTTTTTTGTAAAAAAAAAGATGCAACATTTGCAGATATTTTTACTGGTCTTCCTTTACAAATATGCATTTCTTTAAACATAATTTAAAAGCAGTGTAAGGGAAGTAAGCAAAACGTTGTATTTGGATTACCTCCCTTACACTGTTTTAAATTATCTTAATTGTTCATTAATCATTACTTTATACATAATTTAAAAGCAGTGTAAGGGAGATAATTTCAATGATGTATTTGATTTATCTCCCTTACACTGCTTTAAATTGTGTTTTGTACTAAAGTATTTGTCCATTAACCAGGACAACCTTGTTTTTTCCCCTAATTCCTAAACGGTTTGAGCCATAACCCCCCAAAGCAAATCCTAACCATCCCTTTGTGGTATGGAAACTTGTAGTATAATTTCAGAGAGATCCATACACTCTTCCACAGTTATTGTCTGGAAACTAGAAAATGCTTATTTTTTGCCCCTTTTACCTTAACTGTTGGTACCATAACCCCCAAAATCAATCCCCACCTTCCTTTTGTGGTATTGAACCTTATGGTAAAATTTCAAAGAGATCCATTCACTTAAACTAAAGTTAGAGTGTGAAAACCAATGTGTCTTCGAATGACGACGACGCCAACGTCATACCAATATACGACCGCAAAAATTTTTTGCGGTCGTATAAAAACCATTTTTCTATTGGATTAAAATAAAATATGGTTTGCAAGTAATTTTTGTCAATTTGCTTATTGGTTTCAGACAAAAAATGTTACTGTCTGATTGGGCAAAAAGAAAGAACACACCTTGTTTGCCACTTTGAAGGTCTCACACTAATCATTCAAACCTAGAATTAAAATGTTTGGTTTTTCAGTTTCAGAATTTGGTTGAGATAAGCCAGTTACTTTCATTGCTTAAAGTGGAAAAATGTAATGTCTGATGGTAATTTACATAAAATGATGCACAAATCTGGAAGGATACCGTGGTCAGAAGTAAGACATGAAACATGTATATGCATAACAATGCACATGTTTGTTAGAGCATGTTATTAGTTATAGAACAAGTAAAGTAAACAGTAATTATCAAAGTCTCAAGGTTATTGTGAATGTAAAATGTCACGTTTTGTCTGAATTTGTCCTATTTCGTCTTCAAACAATTTCACAAAGCAGACAGAATGTTCAGTTTGAATTGATGTCTGTCCCAATCTGTCATCTAAAGGTTTGAACTTGTGGTTCCAGAAAAGAAGACAAATAAAAATCAATCATAATAAAGTATAGTCTCTATATGCTATGTTTTACATCCAATTGAACTAAAAAAAAGGATTCTTAAAAAACATCATTTATTTATTCCAACTTCATTTGATTCAAATTGTCAATTTTTTTTCTCCTCAGAAAATAAAAATATAATTTCCCATCGGTTCAGTTTGAACCTATTTCGCACCATTGCTTATATTCAATCAGCACAAATGAGGAATCTTTGCAGACTATTTTCTAATCATTTTCCCATTAAGTTTGGGACTATAATATATGTCCCAGAACCAACCAAGAATAAAGAATTTTGTAATTTTTTTTATCCAATGTGTAAAATCGGAATTTGAATAAAGGACTTCAATACAGAATTCTTTCAAAGTTAAGCATGTAGTTTTATAGAAGAGGGTCTGGATGGGGCCTCTATTATTGTTTTTTTTTAATTTTTAGGCCATTTTTCTCTTCTTTTAATCTTTTTTTGGTCTATTTTTCTTATTCTTTATATGTTTTGGCCTGCATTCTGCACTTTTTGTCCTTTTTTTCTCTATTCTGTAAACCTCGTCCAGATCTTTATAGAAGTTAAATGTGTCACACACATATTGTGATATTCCACAAGATTCAATGTGAACATATGTAGCATAATAGCCACCATGTATGAAATTTCTCATTATTAAAGAATCTTTGTAGAATGTCTCACAACCATCATTCCTATAAAGTTCATAAAAATTTAGTAGATTCAAGGAATTAAAATCTTTGTGGGTGATGACTTATTTATGCTGTTATATTTTTGGCCAGGTGCGCTATATTCTTTCTACCTGAAATAAAAATAATTTAAACATGTTTGGTACTCTGACTGATGCTATGAAAAGTGTGCAATTTTTTGTCACATTCAAACACAGGTGCATTGAGGCATGGACATAGTTTATCTTTATGATATTTCTAAAAAAAAAAATTACGCAATCAATTAGAAACCCCAAAAATAATGAGACAAAAAACAAAATAGGGAGATGGACAAAGAAATTACATGGAGATTTAAAGAAAGATTCATAAAATTCTGATTAGGGGGTTAGGAAGAGAAACAGATACAAATAGATATCATTGAGATGGGAGCCATCTCTGTGGGCCCCACTGTGAATAATGTGTGGTAAAAAATTTGTATCTTTATCATTGGACATGGGGTTGTCAACTAAAACCAGTTTTTGACCTTGACCTTTGACCTAGGAAGTTGTACATACATTATGACACACCCTCTGGTGTTGGTTAATATACATGTCAAGTATAAACTTTGAAATCATAACGGTTCTCTAGATATAGAGCGGACACAATTTGTTACGGACGGACGGACAGACTGATCACTATAGGGTGTCCGGCATTCAGCGGGGCCCTAATTATTGTGTACTATTGATATGTAATGTTTAAGTAAACCAAAACAAGAATATGTCCACAAGACACCGTGTCCTGCTCACACTATCATTATTCCAAGTAAACCTCAAAATCTGGTTCATATTTATTTGGCTTATATTTTTTAAAAGTTCACATCATAATGAAAATGCACTATGTTTCAAGTTGATGTGATAGTTTTTAACCACAACTTAATGGTAAATTATGTTAAACCATAACCCCAAACCCGGATTATAGGACACAAAAGGGAGGGAAGGAAGAATTTAAGGACACCCCACCACTATATACCATCCACTTTAAAAAGCAGGGGGTATGGAAAGGAGTAGGCCCAGTAAGACCCATTTTTGGCCCCAAAATATAGCAGTTTTACCAAATTGTTAAAATGTTAATTTTTAGCTATTTATTGGAAAGAAGAATACTTCTGTTACATAAATATGGGCTGTTTTTGACAATACAATGCACATGTATCGGGTACTAGCATCATTAAGACATTCTAAATTACTGAAATCTTCGAAATTTTAGCATTTTGGTAAATTATTAGACGGTTTCCGTCTGAAATGGAAGTGGCCGCATTTGTGTTCATTCTTAATATTTAAATGTAAGTTGTATTTGATGATAATACATAACATATATAAAGGTTGAGAATGAACACGGATGCGGCCACTTTCATTTTTGACAAAAACCGTCTGAAAAATGGCATATTATGGCATATTTGATAGATTTTTCATATTTAAGCTTGAATTTGAGCGTCTTTAATGACTAAATCAGTTCAAATCTTTCACATAAACTAATTGAATCGACTGAAGTAGACACTTAAGTGTTTAAAAAATGTCCAAAATCTTTCATCAGATGAACCTGAATTTTGAGGCCAAAATCGGCCTTTACCGGACCTACTCCTTTCAGATTAATGTAGGTTTTTGTGCATAGGAGTGTCTTTTACTCTATTTCTTATTATAAACTTGTACACTATATCTATTAATAGTATAAGAGTAGACTTTTATGTAGTCCATCTACCGGGGTATATATGTTGTTTTTTTTTCCAATATCTAAATAGAGTACAAATATTCTAGCTGCATATAAAAATGGATACAATTCCACAATTTGTAAAAATTGATAGGTCAAGAAATCCACCATTTATTACCACTTATCTTAAATCCATGCGACTCCACCTATAGACAATGAATATTAACAATGTAACAATTTCAATTTTTATTGAAAATATGCCTTCATAACATAATAATAAGCACTAAAGAGAGATAAAATAATATAGAATGGACGTGATTAATTCAATTAGATATTACCATGGTTTTATCTATATTGTTATGGTATTATGCATATAACGGGTCTTTTTCTAAATTAATCATCAAACCTTATATAACAATTAACAGAAGTATTCAGTACAACATCAAACAATATACTGCTTTAAATTTCCAAAATCGGAATGTGATGTCACAAATTCAATTATTCACTTTGGTCCCAAAGTGTGAATCACTTCACTGAGGTTAAATCATTCTTATAAACTATTTCAGAAACTGTTTTTTGGAGAGATGGAGAGAAACTGGAGAGAATTATACTCAGCTTGTTTTATAAAATTTACTGTAGGAATTGTAGGAATTGCACAAAAAAAAATTAAAAAAAAATACAACACTCCTTGTAGCTGTTAAACTGAAATAATTAACCAAAATATTAATGAAACATTTATAAAAATAAAAAAAAACATCAATGAAAAAATTAACATATAGCTTGAAGGAACTGGAGGCACTTACAGTGAGATGATCAACTAAAACAAAACATTTGACAAGCTGTCAATAGAAAAAATACTATAAGTGGGTTTCCTACTACAGATAAATAAAGAAAGGTATATCTTCTTGTAACAAAATGAACTAAATACTATAAAATTTTCTTTCATGCAGCGACATTAAACCTTGATGAAACATAACATTATTATCAAAATAATTCAATTTTAATGTTGAATTAACCTTAAGACAAATTTCAACAAATCATTGATCAGCAGTGAATAGGTAATATCATATTTGTACAAAAAATAAAGATTTGAAATTATTGCTCACCTATCAAAAACCTGAGATGGTCAGAAAATGCTTAATAATATATTTTGGCATTTGGAATTTTATAAAATAATGACTTTTACACAAGAAAACATACAATTCCTTTGTTTCTGGTACATAGATTTATTCTTGACTTAGAAAAAGATGTAAAATTAATTAACAAAAATTTCTAAATTTACAATCAGCATTTTCCTAATCTAAATGTTTATTTCTTCATAGACTAAGTGCTTTTAAAAAATTGTGTGCACAAAAAGATCATGTAACAAATTCAAAATTTATAATCTTCAAAAAATTGTTTGTAGGAATACAAGTTAAAAATAATGCAATTTTATAAATGGTCAGGTATTTACTTCAAAATGTGAAGATGAAATCTGTTATTAATTTTTTTTTTAGACAAAAGCATTTTTTCTTTCTATTCTGTTACATTGACACCTGCTAGGAATTGTATGTTATCTTCAGCACACTTTTATATAAAAATTAAGAAATATTAAACTTGAATAACTGTGAAAAGAACTTTTTCATTTGAAACTGTTTCAGAAAAAGACCTTGGTTATAAGTTAACATATTACATGTATATTGCACTATATACAAGAAACACTCGTCTTGGTTGAAAACTTCACTGGGTTATTTCCCCTTTCTTATGTAATTCCATTTCTCTTAAACATTTAATGTTTCTGATAAAATTCCTGAAAAATCTTTATGAATTTTTTTTTTATACATTACCAGTGTTTATTATTTCAATAACTTGTTAATATTTTGAAGTAATAAAATCTGTAGCTTAAAATAACAATTCCAAAAGTAATTTCAATGCAATTCCTCCATTGAATGGTGTTTACATCCTTTACATACATCTTCAATGTAGGTAAATCCTTTATATGTGATTACACTGGCAATTAACTCTAGCGACAAATCTTAGCCAATCCAGCGAAGCTTACAGAGTGTAGTTTTATGGTTATGAACCAAGCGTCCTTATTTACATTCAATAATTATTTGAATTCTGTACACATGAACACATCACTTTGCTGCTTTCTCTTCTGCAATATCTATAAATAGAAATGTAATAACACAATTATGGTCAATTTAATTAAACAAGAATGCATGCCAATGTTGTCGTGCTATCCATACCCCACTCCTTATTCAAAGTATTAGAATACAGGAAGTAGGTGTCTGATCGCTCCAAAAAGTGCACTGTTACAACTTGTTACTGTTAAGCTGCTGGCTAAAATAAGACATCATTATGGTAAGTAGCTCTTGAGAAAAGTATATTTGTTTTCATTCAAAATATTGAATAATTCAAAGTTTTGTTAAACAGGTAAAAGATTTCAGACAGATAAAAAATAAACTGCTTCACCAAGCGCAGCTGGATACGACCGCAGAGATCCAACCCTAACAGTTGGGGCAAAAATGGACACAATATTCAAGCTTGAAAAAAATTTTTTTTTTAACCCCCCTTTCCCCTGTTCAAAAAAAAAAAGATATTTGAAGAAATTTTCTTTTAAACTTCTTAAATCTTGAGAAAAAAAAATTACAACCCTCCCTCCCCCCCCAAAATAACATTTTAAGAAATTTTCTTTTTGTAAAATGTGGTACAATTTAAGAGACATCCATACACTTAAACACAAGTTATTGTCTGAAAACTAGAAAAATGCTTGTTTTAGACCCTTTTTGGCCCCTAATTACTGAACGGTTTGGGCAATTACCACCAAAATGAATTCCAACCTTCTACTTGTGGTATTGAACCTTGTGGTACAATTTCAGAGCAATCAAAATACTTATACACAAGTTATTGTCTTGTTTTGGGCCCCTTTTTCCTAAACGGTTGAGACCATCACCCCCCAAAACAATCCCAACCTTCCTTTTGTGGTATGGAACCTTTTAGTTAAATATCATAGAGATCCATACCCTTAAACTAAAAGTTATTGTGGGAGGAAAACATATGTCTTTGGACGACGACAACGTAATAGCAATATACGACCCCAAAATTTTTAAAAATTTGTATAAATACTTTTACACCACTGTTCAACTGTTGACCAAATATAAAGACTAAACTGCTGACCAAATATTAAGACATTTGTTCATTGGTTACTCAGAAAATTTTTCATAAATATTTGTTTTCCATTTTGTAAGGGAAATTGGATAAAACATGTGTTCTACTGTATGCAAGATTTTTTTTTCACATTGTGTTTATTAATAATGAATAATATCTAAAGGTAAAACTTTATAACTGAAATGGAGAATGCTCTATTTCAAATGTATAGTGGTTGTAAATTCTATATTGTAATGAAGACTTTGTAAATCTAATTGGCTGGCATGAGATTTATTAAAAATCTTACAAATAAAGTTGCTCGTAAGTATACTGAATTGTTTATGACTGTGAAACAAAGGCATGATCTTAATAAAATTTCATTTCAAGCAAACAAGTATGACTTATTGCTCTGTTGCCATTACAATGTATTAGTAACTGAAGTCTTATACTAACCTTGAGATGATGGTAATGCATTCTTTTCCTCTGTTGTCGTCTTCTTCAGACTGTTGCGGTTAAATTTGGTCACAGCATCCTTCAATTCTTGTTCTTTTTTCTCTGCTTCCAATGCTGAAAAAAGTAAATCAGTAATTTAATAAACTGTACTGTTCCTAATTTCTATTGATATGAGAGATGCTTACAGCAATTTTTTTTTTTAGGTTGCAATTGAGGTAAGTATTTTTGTTTGATTCAACAGTATTATGCCAATGTTGTGTTGTTGCCTTTGCAGGCATTGACCCTAAAGAGGATTATTTGAATAACCTATTTTGTTCTGTGCGATGTTCTTCTAGAGAGGTTGGCTACCCATCAAGGAATTGATTCAATAGAAACGAGTTTATTTTGCGTAAGATTTATGATGATTGAAATAGTGATTTTATTTCATGTATTGTATGATAACTATATAGTGAGGTAAGCCTCAGGTTAACCTCTGACAGGGAGATTAATTTAACTACAGCAAGCTAATTTATGCACTGTAGAATTTAATGAAGTTCAATGTATTATCTGATCCTGTTTTGTTGTAAATGGTGGTATTTACTGAAAAATATTTTACAATGTGATAAGACTATTGTACTGTGAATTCATTTTTATTCATGGGGTATTAATTTTCATGGTTTTTACAAGTTAATTTTTAACCACTTTTAAGTGTTGCACAAAATACAATTTTCCTTTTAAGCCAACTAAAATTAATTAGATTTTCATCCAAATTTTTTTAAAAAATGCAGCAGGTGGGAGGATTTTATTTTTTTATTTTTATTTCCTCTGAAATCCTTTTGTAATGTGTTCTTCATATGCAAGGGCAATAATAAGCTTATGTCATGTATATATAAGGAATTCTACATAATTTTTTTCAAATTCTTAAATAAATAATTCTTATTGGCAACCACTGTTCTACATGTAATTGCCACATTAGAAACCTTTTTTCAATAAATAGCAAAAACGTAGAGAAATGCTCTCTTTTAGACTACCTACATCAAAGTTATTTTTCTTTCTACGGTAAGCTACGGTTTATAATGCCCATAAAATGAAGCTTAGGCATTGGTATGCAACACAAGTATTATGAGTACAGAGTGAAATGAAAACTCAAACTGTGCGAACTTAACCAAATAGAAGTTGTTGTTTAATGAATCTAACGAGGGGTTGGGGACAGAGGGTATTTGCTGTTTGTCAACACAAAATGACAGCCTTTGAGTAAATCAAAGGGCTTGCTATAACACATTGTGTACGTTTGCCGACTTTTTGTACTCAATATATATACGGTCATAAATCGCACAAGTTCGTGCTTGTGTCAATTTCTTTATTCCAGTCATGTTTTTGTACCAATATGTTTCACGATTCTTGCACTTTCGGATATCATTCACAGTCCAAATTTCCTGACATAAAGTCATTGTATAAATAAAATAAAAGAAGAATGTGTCTGAGGATACGAATGCCCCCACTCAAGGTTCAAACAAAAGACAAGAGGCTCTCAAGAGCCTGAATCGCTCACCTGTTATTTTTTTTGCTTAAATCTTTCATCAATGATTATTTTTGCTTTTTACCCATATGTTCCATTTTAGCCATAGTGTCTATGTTTCTTGACGTACAAGGAAATGAAATACAAAATTTATACTAGATTCATTTGAGAAGATTTTTAAAGTTAAAAAACATAAAACAACTTGTGTAAAATTGTCCTTAAAGGGCAATAACTCCTTAAGGGGTCAATTGACAATTTTGGTCATATAAACTTTTTTGTAGATCTTACTTTGCTGAACATTTTTGCTGTTTACAGTTTATCTTTATCTTCAATAATATTCAAAATAATAACCATAAACTGCAAAATTTCCTTAAAACAACCAATTTAGTGGCAGCAACCAAACAATGGGTTGTTTGGTGTGTCTGAAAATTTCAGGGCTGATAGATCTTGACTTTTTGAAATTTTTACCCCATGTCAGATTTGCTCTAAATGCATTAGTTTCTGAGATATAAACCAAAAACTGCATTTCGAACCTATGTTCTATTTTTAGCCATGGCGGCAATGTTTGTTGATTGATCAAAATTTCAGATACAATTCATAAACTAGATTCCTAAAGGAACATTCATTCAAAGTTAAGAAGTATTAGGCACAATAGTTTCAGAAGAAAAGATTTTTAAATGTTAGCAAACTTGATGAACACATTGGGTAAAATTGTCTTTAAAGGGCAATAACTCCTTAAGGGGTCAATTGACAAATTTGGTCATTTAACTTTTCTGTAGATCTTACTTTGCTGAACATTATTGCTGTTTACAGTTTATATCTATCTATAATAATATTCAAGATAATAACAAAAAACTGCAAAATTTCCTCAAAACTACCAATTTAGTGGCAGCAACCCAACAATGGTTTGTACGATTTGTCTAAAAATTTCAGGGCTGATAGATCTTGACCAATTGAACAATTTTACCCGTTTAGATTTGCTCTAAAAGCTTTACTTTTGGAGATATAAGCCAAAAACTGCATTTGACCCCTATGTTCTATTTTTAGCCATGGCGGCCATGGTTGTCGATGGATTAAAACTTTGGATATACTTTATGAACTAGATATCCTAAGGAACATTTAGATGAAGTTTGAAGGTATTTGGCCCAGTAGTTTCAGAGGAGAAGATTTTTAAATGTTAGCAAACTTGATGAACAAATTGTGTAAAATTGTCTTTAAATGGCAATAACTCCTTAAGGGGTCAATTGACAATTTTGGTCATATCAACTTTTTTGTAGATCTTACTTTGCTGAACATTATTGCTGTTTACAGTTTATATCTATCTATATTAATATTCAAGATAATAACAAATAAAATGCTTCGCTGGGGCGCAGCTTGATACGACAGCAGAGGTCGAACCCTGAACAGTTGGGGCAAGTATGGACACAACATTCAAGCTTGATACAGCTCTGAATTTGGATTGTTATTAAATATTTGACACAGCATAGGTTTCTGACACAGAAAGAATGTGGTCTAAGAACTTGAATTTTTTTAATTTACCTATTATGGTCCAATGTCCAAAATCAAAATACATGGTTAGATTCAGCATATCAAAGAACCCCATATTTTCAATTTTTGTTGAAATCAAACAAAGTTTAATTTTGGACCCCAACTTGGACAAACTTGAAAACTGGGCCCATAATAAAAAATCTAAACACATGTTTAGATTCAGCATATCAAAGAACCCCAAGAATTCAATTTTTGCTAAAATCAAACCAAGTTTAATTTTGGACCCTTTGGACCTTAATGTAGACCAATTTAAAAAACGGGACTTAAAATTAAAAATCTAAATACACGGTTAGATTTGGAATATCAAAGAACCCCAAAAATTCAATTTTTGATGAAATCAAACAAAGTTTAATTTTGGACCCTTTTGACCTCAATATGAACCAATTTGATAGCAGGGCCCACAAATAAAAAATCTAAATTCATGGTTAGATTCAGCATATCAAAGAACCCCATATATTCAATTTTTGTTGAAATCAAAAAAAGTTTAATTTTGGACCCCAACTTGGACCAACTTGAAAACTGGGCCCATAATCAAAAATCTAAACACATGTTTAGATTCAGCATATCAACGAACCCCAAGAATTCAATTTTTGTTAAAATCAAACTAAGTTTAATTTTGGACCCTTTGGACCTTAATGTAGACCAATTTAAAAAACAGGACCCAAAATTAAAAATCTTAATACACGGTTAGATTTGGAATATCAAAGAACCCCAATAATTCAATTTTAGATGAAATCAAACAAAGTTTAATTTTGGACCCTTTTGACCTCAATATGAACCAATTTGATGACGGGGTCCACAAATAAAAAATCTAAATACATGGTTAGATTCAGCATATCAAAGAACCCCATCTATTCAATTTTTGTTGAAATCAAACAAAGTTTAATTTTGGACCCCAATTTGGACCAACTTGAAAACTGGGCCAAAAATCAAAAATCTAAATACATGTTTACATTCAGCATATCAAAGAACCTCATATATTCAATTTTTGCTAAAATCAAACAAAGTTTAATTTTGGACCCTTTGGACCTTAATGTAGACCAATTTGAAAACTGGACCCAAAATTAAAAATCTAAATACACTGTTATATTCGGCATAACAAATATATAAATGTGATCAAAGATTTTACAAATCTAATGCGCCATACTGTGCAATTAAAGATTACTTATTGAAATTTTTCAATATTTGAAATTTGAAAAAAAAATAATATTTGAAGAATAATTCTTTTTAATTTCTGAAATCTGAAATGAGAAAAAATTGACCCCCATAATTTCTTTTTATCCCCCCCCCCTTTTTTCCCCAAAAAAATTCTTTCCCTCAAGATATGGTCATAATCTCAATTCAAATTTCCAATGGAGTTGGCAACCATAATTACCCATTTAAATTTACCATAGTGCTAACTTAATCTATTTTATAATAGAATTAAAAATATAGTGTCAAATCTTTCATATGGATTTTTTTGTAAAAAAAAAGAGGCAACATTTGCAGATATTTTTACTGGTCTTCCTTTATAAATATGCATTTCTTTAAACATAATTTAAAAGCAGTGTAAGGGAAGTAACCAAAACGTTGTATTTGGATTACCTCCCTTACACTGTTTTAAATTATCTTTATTGTTCATTAACCATTATTACTTTATACATAATTTAAAAGCAGTGTAAGGGAGATAATTTCAATGATGTATTTGATTTATCTCCCTTACACTGCTTTAAATTATGTTTTGTACTAAAGTATTTGTCCATTAACCAGGACAACCTTGTTTTTCCCCCTTTTTTGCCCCTAATTCCTAAACGGTTTGAGCCATAACCCCCCAAAGCAAATCCTAACCATCCCTTTGTGGTATGGAAACTTGTAGTATAATTTCAGAGAGATCCATACACCGTTCCACAGTTATTGTCTGGAAACTAGAAAATGCTTATTTTTGGCCCCTAATTCCTTAACTGTTGGTACCATAACCCCCAAAATCAATCCCAACCTTCCTTTTATGGTATTTAACCTTATGGTCAAATTTCAAAAAGATCCATTCACTTAAACTAAAGTTAGAGTGCGAAAACCAATGTGTCTTCAGACGACGACGCCAACGTCATACCAATATACGACCACAAAATTTTTTTGCGGTCGTATAAAAACTGCAAAATTTCCTTAAAACTACCAATTTAGTGGCAGCAACCCAACAATGAGTTGTTCAATTCGTCTGAAAATTTCAGGGCTGATAGAACTTGACCAATTGAACAATTTTACCCCATGTCAGATTTGCTCTAAAAGCTTTAGATATAAGCAAAAAACTGCATTTCACACCTATGTTCTATTTTTAGCCATGGCGGCCATGTTTGTCGATGGATCAAAACTTCGGATACAATTTATAAACTACATACCCTAAGGAACATTTAGTTAAAGTTTGAATTTATTTGGCCCAGTGGTTTCAGAGGAGAAGATTTTTTAAATAGTATACGACGACGACGGACGCCAAGTGATGGCATAAGCTCACATGGGGCCCTTCGGGCCCCCGTGAGCTAAAAAAAGAATGGAAAGACGGAAAAACGGATGGTAAAGGGCAACAATTAATGCCCCCACCGCCTATGGCAGGGGCATAAAAATCAATGGTTTTCTAATTAGTGAAATGTGTGACATACCCCGATTTGCGTTCTTGGACACTGCCTATTACTCTTAACCTGAATATTTCATGCCCTTCCAGTAATCAATTTCTATTCTCAGAAGATAATGTTATCATCATAGAGCAGCAGAATATGTCCACTTAATAATTATGGTTGAATTACTCGAAGAAATATGAAAACCGAAATTTACAACAGGAAGTTTTGAATGAAACGAAATTGTCAGCGGTTACCGTACCAGAAATGAACAAAATCCGGAAATGGTAAACTTTAAAAAAAAAAAAAAAAAAATTGTTATCACAGAGATATATCTCGCCTTTTTGTAATTTTGATAATGCAAATGTTGAAATTAAAATAGCAATACTTTAACATGTAAGTAAATGCAAATATTCAAAGTCGATGAACCATGACTGAAGGTACATGACTAAACAATCTCCATGGAATGAGATGTGCCAATGCTAATGCAACTGCATATCAAATACCATTGACTTATTACAAGTCGTTCCCTTTAAACAAACCTAAACACAAACATTAACTTGTAAACTATGTAAAAGTTTCAAAGTCAGTGAACCTTGATCAGGGATGGGGCTATATAATCTCCATGGAAACGATACTTGCAAATGCCAATACATTTGCATACCAAATATCATTGACTTAACATAAGCAGTTCATCTTAAACTGATCTAATCACAAACTAATACATGTAAACTAAGCAAAAGTTTCAAAGTCAATAGACCATGACTGAGGGGGCAGGGCCAAATATTCTCCATGGAAATGAGATGTGCTAATGCTTATACAACTGAACACCACTTAACATTGGCCTACCACTAATGGTTCCCCTTGTCCTGACCTAATCACAAACTAATACATGTTAACTTAGCAAAATTTTCAAAGTCTATAGACCATGACTAAGGGGGCGGAGCCAAATAATCTCCATGGAAATGAGATATGCCAATGCTTATACAACTGCATACCAAATATCATTGACTTACCACTAGTGGTTCCCCATAAATTGACCTAATCACAAACTAATACATGTAAACTATGAAAAGTTTCAAAGTCAATAGACCATGACTGAAGGGGGTGGGGCCAAATAATCTCCATGGTAATGAGATGTGCCAATGCTAATACAACTGCATACCAAATATCATTGACCTACCACTAGTGGTTCACCATGAACTAGACCTAATCACAAACTAATACATTGTTGATGCCGCCGCCAGAAACAGCATACCTATGTCTCGCTTTTTGACTCTGTCAAGGCGAGACAAAAAGGGGGAACGATTTCAGAGGGGCGGGCGGGGGATGAAAATCTATAAATAAATTTTATTGGCCTTGGTTGGTTTTTAATAAAATGAATCTTACTGTTTTGGTCTGGTAATACATTTTTCACTGTTGGTTCTGTATGTTTCAAAGAATCCTTCTTAAAACCCTCAATCGCCTGTATCTTCTCAACCTCTTGTTTCTCCAAATTTATTGCTATAAAAAAATATACATAAAACTTCATTAAATCATTCACATAATTTGAAATAATAACAGTAAGAATATTTCATATCGAAATATGACTTGATGTTAGGTCCTAAATAACATTTGAAAAACAATTATGGTACAAATATTCCACATCAAATTAGCAGTGAAAGCTTGGTCTAAAAGTACTAACAGAAACAACAAAAACTAACCAGTTAAGTCTTTAATATTAAAAGAACATAGTTTTTACTCTAAAGTCTGCAAAGGTATATTAACCACTAGAAGTTAATCATTTTGAAACTCTTACAACCAAAACCATACATGTGCTACCAGTTCACTTTCAACTAATTGTGATTAGTTTAAAAGGTGAAACTGCTTGCTTTGGAAGACTTTACCGTGAATTTACAAGAGTTCTAACTGGGCATTTTCGATTTCAACACAAGACACATTTAAAAACAGTTCATGACAAAGTAAAATATAACTTACAAATGGTTATTGGTAAACAGTTGCATGTCTTCAGTTATAACTTAAAAGTTAACTTTTAATTTGATAACCATAACACTGGGCTTTGGAAACCTACCATAGAGCTTACAGTAAATAGATTTTTAGTACAATTTATACAGATAGGTGACTTAAATAATACTTATAATAATGAAAATTTATAAAACGCCCTATATAAAATAAAAATACTCTAAGGTGTTGTACATGCAGCATGGCAATAAGCAAATCAAACAGAAAAAAAAACAACACATAAAACATAAAATATATTAGATGCAAATACTGAAATAAAAATACAACAAAAATGTCTACAATAAAACAAGGTCAACACAGAAATACATCTTTAAAAACCCTGAAAGGTTTAAAATATTTTCTAAATTAGAATGATGATTTACAGAAAATGCATGTCATATTTCTCATGTGCGTCAGTGATTTTTTTCTAGACAGAGATCAGAAAAAAATTAGGCTTCAGAAACGAATTGTATCAATTTATGTGCATAATAGAACTATTTTATATAAAAAGCCATATCTGTAAATTTGCAACCAGAAAGTATTACAGTAAAATTGTTAGGAACACTGAAATAGCAAAATAATTTTCTATATTGGCTTATTAAGCTTAGTATAGAAATGGATCTCAGTTGAAAATTAAGCAATTTTATAAATAGAATAATTTTTTTTTATGCAAAAGAAAAGAGTAATAAATGGAGAATGTGTCCACACAGATGATGCCCCCATTTGCATATAACATTATAAAGGGACATAACTCAAGAACAGCAAAATTGACGCCACCCAAATTTTGAACTTGATTTAATTTTTGTGGTAATAAGCATTGTGTATAAGTTTCGTAACATTTGGTTGATGCAAATTTAAGTTACAGAATGGAAACTGTAAAGGGGCATAACTCTAGTACGGTAAAAGTGACGCCACCCAAATTCGAAATTGATCTGTGTTTTGTGGTAATAAGCATTGTGTATAAGTTCCATAACCTTTGGTTGAGGCAAACTAAAGTTAGAGAACGGAAATTTTGGGACGTATGGACAGATGTACAGGGGTAACACTTAATTCCCCCATCCGGTTAATGGGGTTGGGGGCATAAAAATGTCTAAAATGACCGTGTTGCAATTTTTGTGACTTAAGAAATGTAGAATGTTTACAATGTAGTTGTAAATTTAGCATGAAAATAACTGTCCAGGTAAATTTGAATTTTTTTTCTTCAAATAATTCAATAATAGCAGGTGCACAACTTAACATATGTGCAATCTTCCTGTGAAGTTTCAAAGATCTGGGCTGAAAACTGTAGGAGTTGATTTTCATAAATACATTTTTTCCCTGCTTGCCAGTCATCATTATACTAAATAAGCTCATTTAAGACTTCCAACACAGCTGAAAAGAGTTGGATTTTGTATCCTATTTATACTCCATACTCCTAAATGATCTTTATATTTACACATGGTACTTTTTAAATACAAATGAAATTAAAGAAATTTTACCATCAGGCCTTCATTGTATGTATATTTTTAAATTAATTGATTCCTCAACCTATCCATTCCTTTTTACAGAAATACATTTAATGCTTTATTATATTTTTTACTACTAAATAGGTTGTATATAAAGGTGATAACTGTGCTGTTAACAATAATAGAACCAGAATCAATATAAGAAGAAACATTGAAAGTTTAAGTATAACAGAACTATAAAAGAGGTAGATCGGATCAAATCTTTTGTTCTTGTAAGACTACAAGTTTTTGTAACTAAATATCAGCTTGCTTAAAATATGTGAAAATTAAAAAGTAGACAAAATGCACACTTACTTAAATTTTTACATTATAAAACAGGTAATTTTATTTTGGAACAAGAATATATTTCACTTTGAAAATTATAGAAAATAAAAAAATGATAAAAACTTTCTGTAGCTTTCTGAACTAGTTTGTATTTTAAATAAATCAAAAATATATGAAGCTATCTTAATGAATTTTGTCTTTTAATGGTCTACCTCTTCTATAAGAGAGTTAATAAATAATGATCTACTGTTGTTTGAGGCTAAGCAAATTTTCCATGATACAGCAGTGAAGCATATGATCATGGTTACCTTCAGTACTCGGTAAGGGATTCTTCACTTCAGTTTGTGAATGTCTTAATTTTGATTTATTAAAATCACCAATTGAGTGTCTCATTTCACATTCTCTTTTTTCTTGCTCAATTGCTACAAAATTAAATATTTAAGACATACAACTATCTGGTTAATTTGTAACACATACACAGGCTCTGAAACATGCAATTAGTAAACTGTCCATAGTGCACACAAAAACTTTTTTTTTTAAGTAATTCCTTTGGACATGACCAATCAGCATCAGAATCATCAAAATTGGTGTAAGAGAGATAACTCTAATTGCACAAATTAATTTTTCTTTTTTTTAAGCACAATTTGAAATAAATATACCTGTAAGTTTACAACAAACCTGTCAAAAGCATACAGTATAACAAAGATATTTAAAGAGTCAAATATGCCATTTTATAAAATATAGTATCAGATATTTCACAAATTGCTTTGTAAAATAAAAATGCAATATTTGCTGATACATGTATTCCCTAAACAGGGAATTGTTTGAATCTGGAATAATTTTGAATTCTGGAAAATTAATAAGAAATGTATGATGAAAACTAATCAAACTAAATAGGGGCTAAGGGGTGTTAGTTAGTTCATACTGAAATAAAAGTGAAAGTAAAATTAACCTTTGTCATGGGTGCATGGCTAACCCTATTTAGTTGGGTTAGTTTTCATCATACTTTTCTTATCAGTTTTCCAGAATTCAAAATTATTGCAGATTTAAATAATTCCTTGTTCTCTTTACAAATATACCAAAAAAGTAGAGCATTCTCAATTAGTTAAAATTATTGCATCTTGACTGATATTGCATTCTATACTTTGCCCTTAAAGTTTGGTACACACTAGAGAGGTTCAGAGAAAACAATATTTGCATGCAAGCAAACAAGGGATAAAGAAGACGATGAAATTGACATTGTGTCCTTCTGACATCAGAGCTGAAGTATCATCAATATTACTGAAATATTTGGTTTTATACTATAAAGTGTTATTGTAATATTATTGATTAATATTGTTCCTAATAGTACTTTCATATACTGCTCAGGACAATAATTCACAATATTAGTGCAATAACCCTACATCATCAGCTCTGTCCTTTCCCCCTGAATATAGAGCCAGAAGAATGTATTCAACTATGTTGTCATATAACTATATGGAACAATTTCCTTTTTAGCAATCAATTTCATGCATAGATAAGAGTAAAATATGAATGCGAGAAGAAACAAAGGAAAATTCAGTTGCTTTTATTTCAACTTTAAATGGAAGTACATTATACTAGCAGAGTAAATGGCTTATATATCATTAAAAAAGGTTTAAACAGTGGAGACTGAAAAGAAAGTAATTGCAAAATTGAGACTCAAACTACACTGCAGGTTATTCTTTTAGGTCTGAATTTTGTAAAAAAAAAAAAAAAAAAAAATGCATTACAGCACAAAATAGAAAAATAAATATCTGTGTTTAGTAGAAAAAAATTTACATTATTCAATTTATAACAATAAACTACTGTTGTTTTGTAAACTGACCTTTTATGTCAGAAACAAGCAATATTTTGAAGAAATTTTATCTATTATCACATTCACAATTACACAATCTTTAATTTCAGATGTTCATGAAGTTATAGGTTGACTTCTAAGTAGGGAAATGTCTGGTATCATCTAAGTTATTGTAACCTGCAATGCAATTATTTTAGATGACAAAGTTCGACTTCAGAATTTCCAATTGGCATGCTCTTTTTACCGTCTTTATCAGGTAGAGTATTTTTTTCTTCTGTATTTGCTCGTTTCAATTTCTTTTTATTAAAATCTTCTATAGACTTTTTACGATACCTTTCAGCTTTTTCTGCATCAATTGCTATTTTTTATAACAGAAAATTACACCTTATTTGAAATTATCATTTGTTTAATTTGAATTACAACTTTAAGAATCACTCATACTTTAAGGAAACTACCAAAGCTACACACACACTATCTACACAAAGGTTACAACATTCAAAACATTGACGGGTGGAGTTATCAAGAAACATTACATCAAACAATCAAATAAACTATGTATTCATTAAATATATATTTATCAATTAAATCATAGCATTAATGCAAACAAGTGCACAAACCAAACACACAAACATGCATTTATATAAACATCACTCCATTCTAATCTACAAGATAAATTCTCCTTACACACTTCTACTTTGTAAGCTATTAGTCAAAATTTCAAACTATAATTTTGATACCTAAATGTAATAGGTGCAAACATATATATATATATATAAAGTGCCTAGAAAATCAACCTAACAATGTTAGAGTAGATTTGATTCTTTACTTCTATATATATATATATATCTTTAAAGAATTTAATTACTTGCAAGTCAAGAGAGTAAAATTATCTCTGACTATATAGGTAATAATTAATCTAACTTTTATATCAAAAACTTTAGGAATTTTAAAGTGGCTCCAAAACCAAACTCAAATAGACAAATATGGCTTTTGTTTAAACTTTAGGCCAACCTTAAAAATATGTTTGTTTGCAGTTTTCCGACTGTACCTTCAGACTGAAGGGTCGGTAGGTAGGAAAAATATTTTATTTTATCAGCCAAAATGAAGTTTAAACAAGCAGTTACACAAACCAAGTTTCTTGTGAAGAAATTTCTTTTAAAACAACAAACACTGAAAACCAACATGAAATGAACAGGCATTTTCAGATAAAAACTTTTCAACCAAAATTGAAACTATAACATGGTGTGATTATCCAATTTATGACATTATTGAATACTAGTACTGGAACACTTATAAGATCTTATAAACAAAGAATGACTAGAATTGATTTAAAGAAATTGTTCACTGACATATGCTTCTTTACTAGAAAGTTTTCATGAGTAGAGTATTTTCATTAGGAAAATGTAGATATCAAAGATTCATAAGACAATGTAAGAGTGTTATCAATAAAAAAATTAACCATTGAATCTTTCTCAATTAAAAAAAAAAGGAAACTTGAAAAATATATTTGCCATCTGACTGTTTTCATAAATCTAACAATATTTAATTATATGTAATAAGGTTATATTTTGAAAGATATGTTGATGTGATCAGGCTTTAATTAAAACCAAAAAAAATCTTAGACTTCAGGGTGAAATCAATAGCACCCCTTTAAAAGTAAATGGTCTGTACTGAAATGTTTTGACTGCATAAAAAATTGGCAGCATAGCTCCTAAGGACATGTTTTAATTCAATTCACACAAGCCACACTGTTTGAGTATATTTAATATTGTAAGAGGGAGAAGAATTGCAATGAGTGGGGTAGCTCCCCTTATCCTAAAGGAGCATACTCATTGCAATAGAAGATAGATTTAACATAGAAAAAGTATATTTATTTTTACAAGCCAACCATTAATTTTCTTTACATCTTTGTGTAGTTTCTGTGGCTTCTTATAGATTTGGCATTGTCTATCGATTATAAATTTCAAATGCGCACTTCCTGGCGTGTTTACAGGTATCCATGAAGTCATGGAGAAGTGGTTTCATCCTTGTTGTCTTCACAACGTTTTATAGAAACTATGGCATACTTCAGGCTGCTGTCAAATTGTTTAACCACTGATATTGGTTCCATAAAGTCAGGCTCAAGAGATTCTGTACCCGATCTGTTTGAGATGGAAATGGTTATCGTGTCGGTTTTATGAATATCCGCTGCATCATGCGTTCTCAAATCGTCAATGATATCTGTCTGAATCTGTATAAACAGTTTACTATTAAACTTTTTTGGTTGTTATTTGTTTTAAAATTGACAGAAAACGACAGCGCAAAGTACTCCTCCATGTCTTCATCGATACCTGTAAACAATCTCCATGTGTAGCCTGGCATCCTGACCCAATCTAATACTTCGTCGATAGGTCTTCTGTCAAGCAGTTGGCCAGGATCCCAGGCTATCTCCATGTGCTTTATTATTAAACGGTCCCATGTACGCTTGACAAGAAGGTAAGAAAAACCGAACTTGAAACGTGTAATCGACCCAGACTTTAAATCAATTCCGGAAACGACCAGAAGTACTGGATTGGGTCAATAGAAAAATAAAAATAATTATTTCAAATTAAAAGCAATAAAATTTTCACAGTCAGGCGGATTTTCGAGGGTCGGTCGGTAAACTGCAAACAAACAATATTTTTATTTAAGCCCTAAAGACAATTAAAACTAGCGAAATAGTTTTATCAGAATCAAGATTCAATCATTAAGATGGATTTCTTATGAATGATTTACTGAAGGATGTATTAGAGAAGAGAAAAATATAACTTATAGAAGAGGTTTAAGTTTCTATGCAACATTGGGATCTGTACTTCCTCATCTTATGAAATATAATCTCTTTAAACCAGGTATTTTATTGAAATCCTAATCTTCCTTGTATGAGACAATAGTATTTAGAAAAAAAATCTTTTTTACATAAATGTAAATAAAGTACATGTATCAGTTTATAAAATTGTAAATGTTTACCAAAGAAGTTTTGCTGGTAGACAGAAAACAGTCAATTTTTGCTGATATGTATGCTAAACCAAAATCATTCAGTCAGAATAGTGAACACAGATATTCTTTCTGGTAATTAAGTTCTGGGGTTAACTTTTATGGTCAAACAATAAGGTTTAATAGTGGAGGTAATTTTTACTTTTATAGTTTATTGAAGAGACTTGGACCTAGTTAACTTGTTTTTAACTCCCTCTCTTAGTAATTTTTCTGTTTTTTTTAGTCAAGTTTCTTTTCAAATTAAAATGATAGAATAAGATTTCAAACTTTCAGAAGAAACACAGATATTTTTCAACAGCACACACAAAGCTCCTCCAGTCTGCCCCTCTATGTTGATCTGAAACTATTAGCTCCAGGGGCTTTCATTAAAAATATGAAAAGCTTACTACCAAAGGCTTGTCATTAATAGTTGTCAAACTGTATAAAAGTATCAAATAATATTTTGAAAGTAAAAAAATAACAAAGAAGTTGTTTATGTATTAGCTAAATTCCTTTGTAGAAACTTAAAGAGTGATAATAATATTTTGTAAAAAAAAATATAATAAAGAAACTCTTTATAATATTTTTAAATTACTCAATTTAAATGCATTTGTCGAAACTAATGGCTGTTTGAAAGTTCTAGCTATGAGTGTTGTTAAAAATAAGATTAATCAAGAAAAAAATCTGAATGCAACAAAAATTCAAGTGTTTCACATTTATTTACCAGTTGATTGAGTTCACTAGATCTGTAACTTGTATATTGTACTTTTGTGAGTGTCAATTACAACGTCCTTAGTCCTTATATACATATAGCTATACCACGGGAAAACTGGGTAACAATTCACAATAGGGAAGGTTTTATTCAAAGAAAGCAGGAAGATTTATGCAGACAAAGTTTCGTTCATATTTAATATTGTGTAAAATAAAGGGTAACAAATATTTGGCTTGATGAATTGAGTCACTATTACACCCTTTTAAGTATTTAGATATGTTCAACCCTTATTTAGACAAGTTAAAAATGGTTTAATGGTGGAATAATCTCTGAGGGAATTTTTCAATATTACTGATTGAAGACAAATCAATTATACACCTAATAAATTTTCCTTAATTCCACTTTCACTTTTATTGCAAAAATTGATAATTATTGTCCTTGTTAAGCAGGAATAATTACACCGAGACATGAAATCTATCGAGAAACGGAAATTTTAATTCTATTAATCACAAGATTGCCTTCAAGGTGTTTTTGTAATTTTTTCCATTGTGTGAATAAAGTGCAGACAACTCCTGTACATTATGTATCAAATATTGGTTCCTACATGATTATAACAAAAATACTCCTTACTTGACAATAGTTTAACAAAATGTCAGTGTAATATACCTGAAGGATCTGGTAATGGGTTCTTTTCTTGTGTTTCGGTGTGTTTCAATTTACCAGCATCAAATCCTTCAATACCAGACATTAACTCTTGTTCTGTTTTCTCCTGAGCAATCACTGAAACAAACAAAAGATACCTAACATGAAACAGGTATTCATTTATCATTATAAAGTGATTTTGTTGGGTTTTACATTCATGTTATGTTACCATCCAAATTTGAACATTTAATCATGGTATTCAAATTCCTGTCCTACTGTAACCCTGGTCAGTGTGAGATTCAAACTATTAATATATCACACTATTCGCTAGTTACTGTCATAGGTTGTTTATCCTGGGTACCCTGGCTTCTTTAAACAATAAAGCTGTCCAGAAAAATTCCATCAAATCCCTTCGTAAGCAATTTCTATTTCTCAATATATATTATATACATGTATCTAAAAAGTGTAAAACACCAAATTTAAGTCCAAAGATATTTTATTTAATAAATAAAACTGCCTAATTTAAAATAATGTCTTATTCTTTACTGAAATCTTTAATATAATATATTTTTTGGTCAAGAGTTAGAGCCGTAGTTTTTGGTGTTGACTATCTTTTTTTACACTGATTCAGGACCTTTGTAACAATGACCATTATCTATATACATATCATCTGATACACAAATATCTCATACAGAGTTACAGCTGTTAGTCATTAACCAAAAAAAAAGAAGAAAATTCACCAATGTATGGTTCCTTTTATTATGAAATAGATGAATTCCTATTTTCAGTATACTGCATAATTTAAACAATCATATCCATAAGTAACTTCCTTCTAAAATTGATTTAGTAATCAATGATTACCTCAGATTGTGTGGATAACAATAAGTAAAAAAGATCCAGGATTCCCTGAAGTAGGCAGAAATATTCATTGTTACCTTATTTTACAAGCAAAACAATTATTAAAATGGAGTATTCTTCTGTACATTATTGTTTTCAGAGGAAGATGAGCCATGGGAGATGACTGCAGATTATCCATTTGTTTAAATAAAAAGTTTATACAACAGTAAGTGGAATGATGGCTCATGGTGATTTTTTGTTCATGAAATTGATACATTGAGTTTTAGAAAAAAAAATAGGACATTATCCTTATAAATTGAAAGATGGGATATTGTCCATTTGAAGAAGAAATTATATGCATTTCTATGGAATATTTTACATTTGGGAATATTCATGTTATATTCTCTTTATGCTTCATCATTAAATTTCCTGATACATTTACCACTGGTGGCACTGGATGTTAAGCAACCATCAATCAATCAATATTTTACAGATAATAGAAAGATATGGGGTAAAGGTACATGAGAAAATAACCCATCAAAAGACAAAGAAAGGACAATCATGTGAAAGAGACAAAAGGACCATCACATGAAAGGGACAGTCATTCTATTGCTGTTTTTCATCTTGAAAGTTGTACAACAGTCTTCAACTGTGTTTTTGTTTTTGTCAATATGTATAGTCCAATCTGTATAACTTCTCGTCCATTTCTCACTTGTTTTAAGTTGGAAAGTCCAGTGACATGGATCAATTCTGTAAAGGCTATTACAGCCTTATAAAATGTATAAGGTTTTGTATAAGATACACCCATTGGAGCCTTAGCCTAATTTGGTGTATCTTATTTACACTATGATATTATGATCAATGATGTCAAAATGATAGATTTCAAAAATTTAAGAAGGGTCCTTAAGCAATTTGACCTTATATGTGGTATAACATTTAATGGCATCATGGTGTAATAGAGTATATAGGAGGCTTTAGGCTTAAAAAATTGGCACTCATATGACAAATTTATACATGTTCATACACTAACTATAGCACTTTATACATATAACATTATCCATATGACAAGTTCACACAAGTTCATACCCCAAACATAACACTTTTACATATATTATCCATTGTAATAAACTATTATTGTTTCATCTATCTCTTGATTATATTTACATGATGATAAAAGTCTATTTACATAAATGAGATATAAACAATATCCTTCTCTAAATCAAAAGTAAATAAATTCTGATATTATCTATATTTGATGAGATTTCTGACCCACTTTCTTCCAGTAGTAAACTTAGTTTTAACAACACATACTCTAACAGAATTGTTAGAGATTTCATTACAAAAAAACAGCATCCTTTTATAGATGTTTTTGGGCATTTTTTTATGAATGAAATTCTGTACACCCTTAAAAATAATCTTGAGTACGACCTTTTCTAATCCTGAATATGAATCAGATGATCCCATTTCAAAAGTTTAATGTTTGTGTGGGTTTCTGCTCTAGTTCTGAAATCAGATAACTGATTCAAGTCATCACTGATATCATATGAACAAGTGGCTCCAAGAGCCTGTATCACTTGCATGACTTTTTATATAAAACTGATACAATGTAACAAGAATATTTGTGTATAATGAGAACGTGTGTGGGCCAAAATCTTGTCTTACTGATCTTTTTTGCCTGACAGGTTTATTTTATCTAGTCAATTACAGCTTTAAAGATTAAAGACAAAAATGAAAAAATATGGATTAACATTTAATACACTGATTTAGGGGCAGCAAACCCAGTTTAAAAAGTCAATCAACAATTTCAATCATATTTGAAGATCTTTGTCTTACTTTGTTTATCAGTTTTGTAGTAAATAATTTTACTTTACATATACTGTCATAACTGTAGTGAGTAGTTTCACGAAAAATGAAGTAAAAAATCATTAAGAACTCCTATAAAGAGTTATCTGGAAGTTTTTGTCATTGGGCAGTTCAACATTTTTATATTTTCTCAAATCTATTCCGGTTTCCAGATGACAAAGGGAGAATACCATTTTACCCATATGTTCTAATTAAAGCCATAGCTGCCATTTTGGATGGCAGGCTGGATCAACTTAAAAACATTTTTAAAACTAGAAACCTTAAAGAAAAGGGGAAGATTTTTGTTAAAGTTAAGACAACAAACAGACACCAAATGATGGCAAAAGCACACACTAACCCTTTGGGCAGGGTAGCTTTAAAAAATGACTACAAATTATATGTGTAGATTGAAATTCCCATAGCTATTCTGTTAATTTCTTAGCATCTAAAACAATGTCAACCAGAAGTTTTTTTCTTTTTTCAAAAACTTTTACTTTAAATGTGTGAATAACATAACATTTCTTTGAAACTGACTTATGAGTAACGGAATAGATGCTCATGAGTAATTAAATATACTATGGGAAAAAATCTCAAATTTAAATTGAGAGTGCAAAAACACTCCTAAAGACAAATCATCATTGACGTATGTATATTTATATCCCTTATGGATCCCCACCCACACCTGTTGTCACAAATAATCCAGGTAAAACAATAGCATGACAAGATTAATCAACTGATAACCACCTTGTCCTATTGTTTTTTGGCTTATCATCTACATTTTTATCATTATTTGATTAATTTATATTCAAATGGCACTGACATCTCCAAAGAGGAAATATTGTACAATTTGAAACAAGTACATTGTATCACATCTTCCTGACCAAGGTGATTTGCATGATTAGAAGGTGAATCACTAGTCTATACATAAAGGATAAGGTAATTACATATTTGGACCACAATAACATCACCAAGGATCACATAAAGTTAAAATGAGTAAACTCAAACCAATGATCTACGTCTTCTAAGCTTATGCAATACCATGGTACGTGGCCCTGTGACAATTTGTTGTCTGTGATTTTTCTAAAGACAACAAATATACTTTTTTCTTTCTTGTATTTAATTTAGATTTATACCTTGTTTTTGTCTATTCTGTGTCTAGACAAGTCAAATCGACTGATTCATACATATGGTTGTATTTGGGAAGACATGACTTTAAATGTTATTTATCATCCGTAACATTCTAAATGCTGAGGTAACTAAACAGATGTTTCATTTTTGAAATGATCCATAATAAGTGTAATGTTGTTTTTTGTTGCCTATAGCTGATTCCACACATGATAAATAATACATACTCTGTGGGCCTGGTAATATTATCTTTTCATGAAGCTGTATAGGGTTGAGCTCAATTTTAGTAAAGCTGCTAATACTGCTCAGGTGATCATATCTCAATCTTTCTTCTGCTAGCACTAAGGTATAAAAAGCCATGCATAATATATATAAGCAAGCTAATATATATTGGATATACGACATAACATACATGCAACAAATGGCAAGCTTTACAAAAATTAAAAGACTGTAAAGAATTAAATATTTTTAAGTTCCTATTCGATAAAAAATTGTATGACTTCTATTTATCCTGAGTGTACTCTACTTTCAAAAGTTCATCTGAATATAGACTCTGAAGTCAGGATATCACTTATATCAGACTACCCTCAAGATAAATCATAGTCATATGAATTTTCATGCAATGGGGACAGAACTTAAGATTCATGTCAGAACTCATCAATTTAGCAGCACCAGATAAACAAACAATATCCTTGCACCTACACATAGTCAAAATCAAAACATTTGCCTGACTTCAATACTATGCCATAAATTTTGTTTTAAAGATGTCTTTTACATTTCACATTTTATATACCAATTTTTATGAGATATTTAGTCAATAAGTTGAGCAGTTTAATGACTTTCACACATATCAGCCATTAAGAAATCACTTAGCTAAATTGACATTTTTCCATAGGTAAAATACTTCCTGTGATTGACAAATTTTTTAAAGCTTTATACAAATGTATATACATAAAAAGAACAAGGTTTTTTCTCATGAAAGAAGAAATTAAAGCTGATACTGTGGATTCATTTATTTTCGTGGGTATCAATTTTCGTGGATTGAGGAACACTTGCATTTTCGTGGATATTTGCTTTCGTGGTTTTGCCAATCTCTGCATACAAAGCCAAATTGACATTTGTAATTCGTTGAACATTTGAATTCGTGGTTCACCTGTACCCACGAAACCCACGAAAATTGGTATCCAACGAATAATAATGAATCCACAGTATTGCAAATATTGAAAGCTACGTTTTTGTAAATTTTTTAACACAAAAATGAATTCCAAAGATAACCATCATGTGTTCAATTAAAAATTTACACCCCTAACAGGCATGTATTATCTGGTAAAAGCTTAAGCTGTATTCATTCATGACTACATTGTGCACTAATCTTAAAACAAAGGAACAGATAAAGGATAAAACAACATACAGGGATACAACATGAGTTAACTCACTGTTAGTATCTGGCAGTATTTTACGCTCTTTAGTAGAAGTGTGGTGGAGATTTGTCGGATCAAATTCCTCCAGGTTATGTATAAAATTCTCATGATCCTTCACCTGCTGTAAATCTAAAATAGCATGCAGAGAAATGTGCATAGTATCATATTAAATCATGCAAAATACAGTTGAATATTGATCAATTATTGTGAAGATTGAAGTATAAGAAATGCTGCAAGCTGATAGCACCAATCCCTATTTGATGAATAGCTTCTACCATATATTTAATATCATTCTGTAACTTTTTATTATGAATAGATTCAATGATGCTAAGAATTCAACAAGGATATATTATTATATCTGTCCATCATTTCAAACTTTAAGTATAACTCTGAATTTACTCAAAAAGCTTTAGCTTACTTTAGTGTTTGAGTTATTTAACTGGGACTTTAAAAAGAGAATGATAAGACCATTTTGTGGGCCCCTGGATTTTTAAATTCATAAAGTATGAAAATTGACCAAAAAACAATTGTCAATAATATAGTCATACATGATTGCTTAGGGCAATCAAACTTTATGTGTTTAAGGGGAGTCTCATTAGGGGGGTCTGATCCCACATCCCATTTATCATTGTAATAATAGCACTTGTAACTTCATGTGTTCCGCTCAACTTTGTTTCCCGTTTTCACGCAAAATAATTTGTGACTTTTACATGTCACACTTACAATCCCGGATCACGCTTAGACCCCAATATGACCCACTTAAAGGAAATACTACTGAAACAGCAGAACCAGGGATTGTCTCATTTTAAGATCTTTCCATTATCACATTGTATTAAGATGTGAGCAACAGCCTTACCCAAAACATGTTTGTCACAGGACATCTTGTAAAAAGATATTGATGGGGGGAAATATCTCTAGCATAAAAGCTGTTGTTCATAATAAATTTAACCAAACACTTTGTAAAATAGACATATTTTGGGCCAATTATGACATGTTTATGACATCACAGTGAAAACATCAAATTTATTTGCATGCGCTTTAGAAACAGGAAGAAAGAAAGGTTTGCCATGCTATTCTCCTGTTTTTTCTTTGGTAGGAATAAATCATATTTCATTTGGACGATCCACACATATATTGTTTTTCCTACTAAAATATTTCATTTTCAAACTATCAAAAAGGTTACGGTACAGTGCTTAATCAAATAATATGATTGAACAGGACTTCCAAATGACACCAAAGCAAACTGTGATGGGCCATAATGTGAATATTACTGTTTGATCATAATTTAAGAGGGAAGAATAGCCTTTTTCATCAAGTGTCTTTTTGCTAGTGTTAGCATTAGCATCTTTCTTGAGGATCTTGCATTTTTAACCTATCATCAAACACCCTAAATGTTATATATATCATTTTCTACAGCTATTCTAAAACAGTAAGTTCAATCGAAGTTGTTAGTTTGATTGACAACTTTGTTAAGTTTTCTCCAGAATTAAATTGACACATTAAGATTCTGACTGAAACTTGACTGGACAAATGATATAAACCATGTATCAATTTTAACACAATGAACAAACTTCCTTACAAACTTGACAAGCAAATGAACAAAGTTTTTGTTGAAAATACTATTGTAAAAGATCTCTAATTAAAACAATGTTTGTGCAATAAGATTTAACTGTACATTATGTATACCTTTACCACTTTTCCTTAAGACAAAAAAGTACAAGACAAATTGCATGGTTCTACAAACATGATTTACTGAGATCAATTTTTTGTGAACCCTTTCTTCAATTGAATACTTTCTGAACTAGCCATGCAAATAATTGAACTTAATTGATTTAGCCTGAGGCTTGTCATTGACATGTCTTATTCAAAACATCAAAATGCATACATTCCTGATTTGATCTTGACATTTGTGTTACTTTGTGTGTTAGTCTTCACCAGTACATGTACTTCAATAAGATGGAAGCTGTATCTTTAGATGTTCTAGAATCTAGGTCCCCCTTTCCCATAAAAAAATAATAGTAATTTTGTATTGATCAGTTCAAATAAAAATAAACTGCTTCGCTGAGCGCAGCTAAATGCGCCCGCAGAAGTCCAACCCTTAACAGTTGGGGCAAAAATGGACACAATATTCAAGCTTGATTCAGGTCTGAATTTGGATTGTAAGTAAATATTTGACATATTATAGGTTTCTGAATAAAGGTAGTCAAAGAACTTGAAATTGGTTATATGAATTGAATTTATATGCAATTAAAGATTTCTTGCTGTTGTGCAATACTTAGTAAATCTGTTGTCATACTATAAACAAATAAAGTTCAATTAATTCTCAATGTCATATTAGAAATTTATGAAAATAAAAAGGGAGCTTACATCAATAGATATAAACAATTCACCAAAGTTTCATGAGAATTGGTGACAGCATTTTTGAGTTATTGTCCGAAAACTGGAAAATCACCCCTTTTTTTAATGAATAAAACCCCATAACTCAGAAATGTTCGATGTAAAATTTATTAAATTCTAAAGGGAGCTTACATCAATACATACAAACAATTCACCAAAGTTTCATAAGAATTGCTGAAAGCATTTTTGAGTTTTTGTCCGAAAACTGGAAAATCCCCCTTTTTTTTATGAATAAAACCCTGTAACTCGGAAACGTAAAATCTTAAATTTATAAAAATCGAAAGGGAGCTCATGTCAATAGATATAAACAATTCACCACAATTTCTTGCAAGTTAGTGAAAGCATTCTTGACTTATTGTCCGAAAACTGGAAAATCCCCCTTTTTTTAATGAATAAAACCCCATAACTCAGAAACGTAAAATCTAAATTTCATAAAAAACGAAAGGGAGCTCACGTCAATAGATATAAACAATTCACCAAAGTTTTATGCAAATTGGTTAAAGCATTTTTGAGTTAATGTCCGACATGTTGACAACGGACAGACGGACAACGGTATACCATAATACGTCCCGTAAACGGGCGTATAATAAGAATCAGTGCTTAAACATGGAAACATGTAACGTAAAAATATATACGAGACCAAAAAAATTATGATAGGTGAACCAGAAAAGTTTAAACATTTTGTAAACTTAATCTTTCAACATATCTTAATACAACAAAAATATTCAAATAAATTTCTTTCAAGTGACAAATAATCCTCATCATTCAGATGTTTAATCAATAGATTGAGACCATGTCTACTGCCAGGAGGAGTGTGGTACAATGACCTTTTCATGATCTCAACCATACAGCTGTTTCAAAATTATTCTAACTCTTTTTCTTCAATATTTCATTTTGTTTATGAATTATAAAAAGTGTTGATTGTAATATCTTAAAGAAGTATCAACAAAAGTTCAAGTTGAACTGTAGGATAAAGATACAAATTTCATTTTACAAGGATATCCAATATCAGTTAACACAGTGCAATTCTACATCTGCAAAATCTCTGGATTTCAACCTCAAGTCTAATGACATTCAAGACCTGTTCTAATATACAAGATTTTACTTAATTTATAAATCTTAGCTTCAGATGCAAAAAATCTCCAAATACCTTTGGAACTAGTCCAACCCAAATTTAGAGGAACTGTGGACAAGCTAACACAATGATAACCTTGCCCAAACATAAAGCAACGGTAAAGTGATCTGCTTCGGGACCACAGGGTTGTCTTTTCCTATATGAAGGTATATACATATGTGCCGCTGGAATGGGTCCCTTTTTTGATACGTCAAATATATCAATGGGGTGCAATTTTACCGAGGAAATATATCAATAGGTAGTAATAGACCAATTGTGATATATCAATGGGTCATAATTTTTCAGTTTGTTGTGCAACGATCTTCACTGAATTCGCTATGAAATATATGTATAGGTAAGGATTTCACAGTTATTCAATATATGAATGGGGGGGTGTTTTTTAAATCCCAGCTGCACAACTGTACCCAAAATCCCATGTTGAGACCCCCCAAAAAACAAATTGAAAAAATTGAAAGTAAACAATGGTATGATACAGTTTACATTCTAAAATATTTTCAATAAATTTTAATAAGTTACAGTCTTGTTGGTACTTATATTTTGGCATAACACAAGGCCATTTTTTTCTCTGACTGTTTATAACATCTTTACACTTAATCCATTGGATGTGTACTGATTGATATCATGATTTTTTTTATTAGATGTTAATGGCTTTGAATTAGTTTTTAGTAAATTAATGCAACTACTCTTAACTCTGTACTTGGTATTTTTTAGTCTTTTAATGAGTTATGTTTTGTGCTTTGTATCAACCTGATGAGTCAATCCTCTTATGTTGTGCTGTTACACCACTGCCCCAGGTTAAAAGGGGTTGGGAACACAAACATATTTAACCCTGCCACATTCTGTATGTGCCTGTCCCCAGTCAGGAGCCTGTGATTCAGAGGTGATTTGTCGTGTGTTGCTGTATATCATATATATTGTTTTACGTTTATTGTTTGGTACATAAATCAGGCTGTTGGTTTTGTCCTTTGAATTGTTTGCTTGCTATGCGGTTTGGCTCATTGATGAAGGCCAAATGGTGACCTATAGTTGCTCACTTCTACTTCATTTGGTCTCTGGTGGATAGTTGTCTCATGGGTAATCGTACCTCATCTCCTTATTCTTTTATTAAAAGGAGTTGCAGATACAGAAAGGTTACCCCAGATGAAGCAATGGCAAATTCCATCATTTGCTCAAGTAAACTCGAAAACATAGCAGGGAGTATAATAATGAGTGATTTGACTAATAGTATATGAAAATATTGTCAAGTGTAATTACATGAGACCACATGTATACATGCAAGTTAAACATTTCTCTGGTTACATTTGAAGGTGCTTAAGTTTTCCCAATCTTTACTCTACTTATCATGTATGCCTAGGAGTACAAGTCCTTGTTCTGATTAGGGGTTTGAAAATATTAATTCTGTAAAATAAATAGGCTTTAAAAAAGACTAACTACAAATGACATCCTACCCACTTATGTTTGTTCAAAAATTAACAAGTGTGTATTATTTACTTATCATCAGGAAAGGATACTTCACCTCAAGTTAATAGTTTAAAACATTTTAAGTGAAATGTATTGCTACTATGCAATCTATATAAGCAAAAAAAAAATACTTTCA